TCTCCCCCCGTTACAGGCATTCTTCCCCTCTACCCCCTCTCCTCCCTCTCCGCATCCATACTCCCTCAATCTCTCCCCCCAGTCGGCAATGCAGATATCCTCGCTGCTTCGGTTCTCCCCTCTATCATTCCCGCCGCGACTAATCCAGCTACAATTGATGAACCATCGACACCTTTGAATAACGCAGTGGAATCGGCGTTTGGAGCGACCCCGAGTGAAATTGGAGATGAGATGGGGGTTGAGAGTGGACCGGTGCAGTTTTTGGGGGCGGCGGGTAGGAGCGCGAGGGTGGTGGGGATTGGTGGGTTGATGGGGGGACTGGGGGTGGTGGGATTATTGGTTTTGTAGGATTGGTGGAGTCTTTTCTCTCGGAGGAGTTAAGGGGTTTGTTGGAGAGAGTTGAAGGGGATTAAGAAGGGCGTTGGTTAGTATAGGATAAGATGGGATGAGATATTTTTCGGGTTGATTTTTTTTTTTTGAACGCTGAGTTGGTAATATAGTTAGGTTCTTCTGAGATTTCCACACACACTGCTTGAAGAATATGGAACGGGGAAATAGGAAAATCTTATCGTGGTGAAATGAAGAATTTATAGTGTCAATTTGTAACCCATCTCGACTTGGGCATTTAGATAGAAATTCAAGAAATGAAAGTCCACCTGCCTTATCAATAGGATCTTATCTAAACGTTTGGATTCTTTATTGGAGGAGTTCTTTTCTGTGAGTACGAGAGAGAATTATGATCATCCTTATTAACGATGACTCTTTATGTGTAGAGCTAGAGGTAATGTTTTGTTTTCACAGAGGTTAGTAAGGATGAAATTGTATACTGTGCATTTTGATTTGGGGATCAAATGAATTGCATTCATCTGGCAATGAGATCATAATGAGCTAAAGTTGTGGGGAAAAATCGAATATTGTACGCTGCAGTTTGAGATAGTCTTGATGAGAGTATTTACAGTTCAAATTGTTTGGTTCAAGCATGATATGTGACCGTCCAGTCTTCACGAGAACACAATGTTCAAATTGTCCTCAAGTTTTCGTACCATGAAGGTGAGATAATATACAATTAAAGAACGTACAACAATAGCATGATAAAAGTATCAAACCATCATATGAGATCAAAATAACAAAAAATGTGTTCAAGATTCCAACTCCAAATGTGCCCATATAAAATACATACATCAACACCTTCATGCTTGATGATGTTGCTCCAGCGTTCTTCCACAAACTTCAATCTCGTCCCATCTTCAAACAATTGGTATAATATAAAACATCGCTTCTTGATTCGAATTCGCATGTCGGTCGTGAAATTCGTAGATTCGTGTCGAAAGCAATCGTCCACATCTTACGACCACTATTTCTCCTCGTCCACCTCCGCCTCTACTTTCTTCATCTCTCCCTCTTCCTTCTTCACATCTCCCTCCGCCGCTTTCTCATCTGCTTCCCCCACTTCTCCTTCCTCTCCCCCAATCTTCGGTAACTTAAACCAAGGTCCATGAGCCGCTCCCGCCCCAACACCCGCCAACAATCCCAATCCCGTAGTCGGCACACTCACCACACCTCCCACCACCGAACCCACCACCGTCCCCAACCCCATTCCCACACCCGCACCTATGCCCGCACCTCCCGCACCTCCCTGCCACACTCCACTCTGCAACCTCTGAGCGATCTTCAACTCTGAATTCGCCCTCTTTTCCAATTTCTGGGCTTCTTCTAAAAGTTTTGCCTTTGCTTCTTGGGCATCTTCGGAATCAGGAAGCGAGGATGCTTCTTCGCGATTTGCAGATGCTTTCTCGGTGGCTTCTTGAGCTGCCTTTATCTTTTCGTTGATCTGGGAAAGGACCTTTTCTTGGGTGCTGGGATTCCCATCGGCATCCTTAGGAGGAGATTGTACTTTGTCCGTCATGCTGGATTTGAGTGCTTGAAACATATCTTTTTTTTTCCAAGTGTACGTTAGTTTTGATGGACTATATAGTAAATTGTTAAAAGCGGACCGGCCCGTAGATAGTATTGTTTTAGTGTTATTTGAAAGTAAAATAAGTGACGAAAGTCAACTTGACGATAGAGTTTAAGCAGGATATAAATGTGTGGGGTAGTCATTATGTGCTATGACGTCGTTTGATGGACAGTGGTGGGGCTGAAAGTGTAGCCCTATAATTAATAGGCTTTAGAGCCTACCTGATAGGCCTGTAGCTAAACCCATGAAAATATGTGAAATTATACCATCAACTCACCAGTAATGAATAGGCCAGAAGTACCTGGGGTTATGCTCAACAATAGAATTTCATATTAAGCTATCAAAGACAACTATCAAGTAACCGTATATTGCTTACAACAAGGCTCAACTCAACTCCGTAGCACCACTGAAAAAAGTAACCAACTGAACTCCACATGAGATTTCTTGTCCGTTACTCTAGAGGATCTCGACCACCTCTAGCTTCCATCTCTGCATCGTAAGTGTCATCTTCCTCCAATTCAAAAGGTCCAGGTTGAGTGATTGGCAGGAATGGTACTCCCAATTTCTCATACATTTGCAATCTTGCTGCTGTCTTTGGTCTCGTCTTGTTGATACTAAAGACCTTGATTCGGTGACAGGAAGAAGTGACATGGAGATCCCAATTCCTGACAGATATTAGCTAACTTGACAAATGGGAAAAGGAGAGGGAACTTACCAAGTAGATCTCACAAAAGTAGGTTGTGTATTCATTGAATTATCCCAACACCTAACCACCAACTCTAACCATCCTTCCGCATCAACTGGAAGGTCGATTTCCCATAATCTCCAGGCATGGTAATACTTTTCGCTCAGGTTCTCATAAGGTACCTCGTACCAAATATTCCCTCCATCCCCACTAACCTCTACCCTCACCGGCCAATGTCCACCACCACTGTATGCCCATCCCCTCATTTTTATTGTCCCATCATGTATTATCTGATCCATATCCACTGGGCTCATGATCGCTGAACTCACCGGCATATCTTGAATACTAAACCCAGAACTATAAGCTGCATTATGTTTTCCAACTTGGGTATTGTAATACAAGTATTCTTTCTTCTGCACTGGACCAAGAGATTCATGGGGTAGAACGTTAATCCTGGTAAGCCATTTACATGAGCGAGCGCCGATGTAGCCAAATACCACAGCACGTAATGGAAAGCCATGGATCTTAGGGAGTGGCTCCCCATTCATTTCCCAGGCCAGCAGCACCTCATTAATTTTTACCTTGCGCCAGGGAACGGATACAGCGTAGTTGTATACTTCTCCCTTTTTGAAGTAGGTATCTGCGCCGAGAAATTCAAGATGATAAGTTCCTGATGGGTCTTTGAGACCGCCGCAGTATTTGATCACTTTCTTGAGGGATACACCGGTCCATCGTGCGGTTCCAATGGCTCCTTCTCCCCACTTTGCTCATGTCAGTATACCTTTATACAAGAGAGAGAGTTGTTACGTACAGGTGCATTGATAAGTTCATCTCCGTCACCAGGATACTGATTGATTTGCTCAATTCTTCTGGTTCCTGAACATTGAATCGTGACCACGTTACTCTGTCTCGGGAAGATGGTTTCATCCTTTAAATCTTTTAAAGTAATACGTTTCGGGTTATTCACCAAACCAGCAACATCGAAGAAGTAAGACTCTTCGTCAATTTCAGGAATTCCACCATGATTTCGAACAAAATGATCCTCATTAGAAGTTATGGCCGATTCAACGAGTCGATTCTGTTCAAATCTGTTATTATTGCTCTCCCCAGACTCAAGGAAGTGGATGGTCATACTCGAGGGGGTTCTCCGTTGTATGGGAATTGTAAGACATGAATCATGTCCGGAGACTTTTCCTTCTCAACAAACAACCAACTCTCTGCTGGCATATCTTTCGTCTTTTTTCCTAGTGCATAATGATAGTGTTTCCATCTCACGCCTTCTAGTACTGGATTGGTTTTTGGCAAGGGAACTAATTGAAATTCGGGTGCCTGAACCACAAGTCGATCAGCATTTGAGTCTCGGTTTGAACTTGGACTGCATTCATACCGAAGGAAACTTATATTTCTTCATGAATTCTTTTACTTTCTGCTTTCGCTCAGGATATTTTTCCCATTCGATATATCCGTGCCAACCATCTAACTCTTCCTCCAATTCCAATTCATTTGGATCTGGCAATTCATCACTGGAACGTATCTCAAGATCTGGATGCAGTATACTTGGATGTCTAGCATCACTTCTACCGGTTGGACCATTCATGCTGTTTGCATGATGGATGTTCGATTCGGATTCTGGCATTGCGTTCAAATTTCGAAATCAATTAAATATCTCGTACTCAATATTTTACTTTGAAAACGTGGATGAGAATCTAGGGAGGGAGGTGATAAGAAAGTACGGATAATAAAGTATTTACCCCTCTTCGCCCAGACCACTGTGCAACCAGTGCATTGTAATCAAAAACAGTAGGATGAATGTCACTTGGTTACATCACAAGTAGAACTGGACAAGCCATAGGGAGGGAAGTTTTGCGACGTCATGACCTTGATAATGAACCAAATAAAGAAATTTAAATGGAGATAATGCCGAGACCTACCGGTATGTCCGAAAACGATGGGGTTTGATCGGAATTTGTCTGAATACAATCGGCTGATAAGCTGGCAAATAAAATGAGTAAAGAATGGAATATGCAAATGATGAATTTGTAGATAATGAAGTGGGTTGATTCTCAAATGGCGATAATTGATCGATCAGCATCAGAGATCGATACAAGCTTTTAAAAGCCGAATTAAAAGCCGAATTAAAAGTTGCAAACTCGGTAAGTAATGAGTCTGTCTAGACTTTCGCAATTGATACATCCTCTAAAATGTATACCTGTTTCTCAAGACTTCAAAACTTCAAGCCTTTCAAATTTCCAATTCAAACCCAAGTATACAATCTGATAAGATAGCAAATAAATTATTTCTGCTGGATCGTAAGCAAAATCGGTCCCCAAATAGTCAGAACGACACCCCAAAATGTTCTCACTCAACTTCTCCCACCTTGTAGACATTTCTTATTCCCCTCGCCTGTCCTCTCTGTAAACGTTTCAGGCCTTCTCCAACTCCAGTTAAGCCTCCATCAATAAGTTCAAAAGGGCGTCCAGTAAGTCTGCCGTCTGCCAACATCTGAGACATGTAGGTACTTAAAGAACACAGCCACCCACTCTGGATCACCCTTCACAAACTCTCTATAAAATGGTTGTCTGACCATGCCCGATTTATAGACTCCCGTATGCGCTGTGCCTACCATGGTGTATACCACTTCAATTCCCGTCTGAATTGATCCTTCGTCGTACTTGTTAGAGCCTGTGACGACTGATAGGTAAGATGGCGATTGCGACAGAAATGATGGAGCTAACATATGGGAGTTCGGGATCCATGTACCATTTAAGCTGATGGCATCAAGAGCATGATGACACTCCAAGCTCCCCAAGACCACTTTAGTGGCTTTGATCATTTGTTCAGTACCCAAGCGATAATCGATTAGCTTGACACCAGAAGATGGATCCAGCAGGGAATGCAAATGCGAAGAGCTGCTTCCTGCGATAGCAATAATTGGGTGGATATTTGAGGCGCGAACTAATTTGATTGCAAAAGTACCAAGAGAAGAAGATACGCCATAGATGTTGAACGGAAGGGGCACACTATCAGCCCTTGGTGGCCATGGAGGCGGCAAATGCTGACGGCGAAACAGAGAAAGTGCCGCTGTCGTGCAACCAGCGGAATGGTCGCGGCTTCTAAGAAAGAGTCAGAGACTGACATCACTCGTCGACTTAGTACTGACCTTCAAAAGTTATTGCATCTGGCAGTTTCATTACAGTATGAATCGGCGCAACAGCATATTCGGCGTAAGCTCCATGTGGTTCCATCATCGGATAAAAGGCAGCAACACGGTCTTTGAGAGAATATTTATTCTTTGTTTGCGCATTCGTACCGATGGAGTGAACAACACCAGCGATATCATCTTCACTGTTGAGTGATTTCTTCAGCGTCTTGAGATGAGGCAATCTAGAAAGTAGATATCTGTCTGAGCCACTACTTTTCGAGTACACGTTGAATAAGTGTGCTTACCTTTGACATTACTCCCCGCGACAATAACTTTGATCACTATATCGTCGGGCCCAAGCTGTGGAATTTCTACTTCAGTGGTCTCAGTCCAGATTTCAGGACTGGAATGATCAACAACTTCCCTCATGATTCGGGATATTGTAGATAACAAAATCTTCTCTGGTCAACTTTTGGCTCAATGTACGAGACAGTTTGGGAAAGAAATCAAAAGCAGAGATTGCGATGCGGTCTTCCAAGCCATAAGACTATGCATGCATGCAAGGTAAGCAAATATCAAAGTTTGTGCGACCTACAGACACTTGCTTGTGGTGAAGAAGAAGAAGAAGAAGCACGAGAGATGTCAATTCGCCAGGAATGGGTGAAATCAATTCATCACCAATCGAAAATTGCAATCCCACGCATGGCATATTCATCATCATTGTGTATTATTAGTAGTCGTGATACCGAGTAAAGTATTGGAGTTTTTCTACCTTGATCTCGGAGCCTCATCTATCGAAATGCCTATTATATTGTATGGCCCAAGGGGCTCGTTTCCCCGATACATCGGCAGGAGGATGAATATCTATCAGTACATCTCTTGAAACCCCGAAGAATCCCAATATCCAAAAACATTTATGATGCCGCGATATAAGACATTGAGAATCAGGGAAATGATTGCTGTACAACGGCAAGACTCCAGTGGAAATCCTGTATGTCGATGCTGCTGCTAGGTTTTTATTCGGCATTTGGCTTTGCTTGTGAACGAGTTATTCGCTCGCATCGTACCATACCATATCAGGCTAGCACCGTGCTTATATAAGCACGACTGTACAAGTCCGACTTTCTCATCAAGACATGGTTTCTTCCTAATGCGTTCGGTAAGAGTTGCACCAATATCTGTTCACATTCCGGAAACTTTTGCGGCTTATAGCTAGATACTTGTGTCTCCATCCAATCTTCTATATCATCATTGTTAGTTCGTGTTTCGAAATACTACCATCGTCATGCTAGACTCAACTGATGCGATGCCCGGGTCTGAGCGTACAACATGCCAGTAAGACTGCAGGATACTGGATAAATCTTGGTGGAGCGTGACTAAACTTGACAAACTCAATGCTGTCTATTTAGACTACCGATGTTTGAGTTTAGCAAGTGCCGCTCCGCAACAGGTCCCGCGGCATCCAACAGCATACCTTTGTTTCGAGTGAGATTCATGCACTACCGGAATGTCCTTGGCTAGATATTTGACTCGAAATTCTGCTTTAGGTATGATGGGATCTCTAAGATTTAAGTGAATTGTAGAATCACTCATCTAATAGTCGTATTCTGCTTGCACCGTCATCCTCGATATATTGGCAGACTCATCTCATGATCCGTGGTTTTTTGCTTCTTGGAACATACTGGCATCGCATCTATACAATCAGCATCGGCAATCATTTTTTCTCTATAGAGCAACTTCACGGCATTCGAAGGATTTTTTTGGATGTTTGTGTCGCAAAGCTATTGACGAGGATCGCTGGGTACTCAAGGTCTAAGATGGCGTTTGGCATGCTGTCACATCATTTGCTTTGAGGACGTTTTCCTTTCAATGTCGATCTGTGAATCAACGCATAAAAATCAATGACCTACTTTAACACAACTTATGAGATGCAAAAATTCATGGCTGCACGTTCAACATGTGCGGCAAGGGTGGCATTGCAATTGAGTTAGCCCCTGAATCTTGTCACCAAATGTACCCATCCTTTGCGAAGAGGCCACACTTTAGAAATTTAGAGTCGCAACAAGTGTTCTCATTTAATTATGTTTTACATTGACAGATCTTTTTAGTGACTGAAGCTGTTGCTGCCATGTTAACGTATCACTGCAACGGCGCTTTGGTGACATCCCTAGAATAGTTCAAGTATTCAAAAGCCCATGTCCCTGAACAGACGGGCTATTGTATTCTGGATGATCATTTTCAGCGCGTGTCGATCGTACATTCTTGCGAAATAGATCTTCCTTCGAAGTCAGTTCTTGATTATGTATTCAGTTTCCTTAGACTCGCTGGTTCTAACAATGCAATATAAAACCTATTGTAGATCATTCTCTGCAGCGCAGTACCCCGGATATATCCACCCATACAACATTTCCGCGGCAGTCGATGCGCAGACGTTGAAAGGGCGGGAACGCCAAGCCACCCGCAGCAGTGGCGCTTACAATGCAGTATATACAATTTCAGCCCTGTGTATTTTTCATGGCTGTTGATTGGATTTTAGGTCTGAGACGGGATCACCCAAGCTAGTTCTTGGCGTTTTGTTGCCGCATTTGCTTGTTTCCCCCCAAGTCATGGCCACATGTTTTTTCTCTCTAAAGTGGGGCCTATATTTTCATTTTGTTTCATCACTCTACCCCAACTCATAAGCTGCTTCAAATCTGGGCATTCGAAATACCGGCGTTTCTGTTCCTTTTGCTGTCAAATCTTGACACCATTCAGATCCCCTTATCGCATCATATGCAACTAGCAATTGATACTGCAAATGATTCTCACACCACTAGTGTTTTGAATATCGAATATCAGAAGTAAAACTGATATGTATTGCAAGAGATGTGGGCAGTACACCGACTGTTTTTATCGCTGATCCCAAATTTCTGGAGGAGACACAGGTGGTATGAGATGGAGCTTAGTGACTCCATACATCAAGTATGCCCTATCCTAGTGCAGAATATCTAATATAAGCCTTCTGAATCTTGGCCGATTATTATTTCTTGTCCTTTTCTAAGCTGGCTTCAACCTCTTTTATTAATGTCACCTTGTCGATTATAGTCTATTCTGTGAAACTTGTTGTTGCTCTAGAAGATATACTATAGTGAACATGACTTTCCCGTCAACTTGGCATAAGTTCAAGAACTTCATTTCACCCACGAAACAACCAATTCGAGCCGTAGCTATATCCCAAACTTCTCATACTACACCAAAAAAGGCCCCTGGACAAACTTCATCAAATGGAAAGAGAGAGCCAATATTAATCACAACTAAAGATGTGATCTATAAACCGAAAAGGAATGTGTTGGACATTGTCACGAAAGCTGCTGGTTCAAATTGGGTATTTGTAGCAATGATGGCTATCATGCTTGTTTGGGTCATATTTGGTTTCATTAATGGCACGACTGATACCTGGCAAATCGTCATGCAAAATACCTCTTCGATCCAAGTCTACTTAACAGATATCCTGCTCCTCAGACAAGCTTCCAACGCCTCAAAATCTCTTCTAACCACTCTCGCCGAACTCCAGTCCCGCAATCAAACTTCTGAGCGCCTTCTCCGACAATTACCTAGCTGCCAATGGATGGAAACCCACAGGAACCCAGCTGAGAAATTGCTCAAATATAACGAACCTGTTGAATCCAGCGCCGATGATATCCTAATTACAAGTGGCGGTGGAGACATATCAAAAGCACGCTATATGTGGAACAGCACTTGCAGAATCGTTGCTAAAGGCCTTGGTTCCATCTGGGCATATATCCTCTACTGGATCGGTATTTTCTTTTGGGTTGGCATCGGTCCTCTATTTCAGTTCAGCGACACTTGGCAATTATATGTCAATACAGCTACTGCAGTTGCCTTGACATTTACTTCCATCTTCTTGCAAAATATACAACAGCAGCAAGAGAATAACCTTGAGCAGTGTCTTGAGTATGCTTTAAGAGTCGATTCTGAGGTTGAGTGGCGATTGAGGGAAATTACAAACGATTACCAACCTAACCCAATATTCGAGATCCCTACTCCAATCATCAGTCGGATCGATAGATCTATCGATATCTTTGCTGACGTTATGGGCTCAGGCGTTGGGCTATTGATCACTTTGATCGTAACGATTGTTTGGATAGCTGTTGGTCCTATTCTCGGTTTTAACGATAACTGGTGGTTAATCATTGGTACTTTTACCGGCCTTGTGGGCTTTATCGACGGCTTTGTACTTCGGAATGTTTATTATCGAGACGAGAAAGTTGCAGAGGTACAATTCGAGAAGATTGCCGAAAGTGATGATCGATTATTAGATTTACTTAATATCCCTTCCCCGTACCAAACCCCTACCAAGCCAAGAAACTTTAGCACAAGAGCATCTGCTACAGCAGGAGAGTTTTGCGCATTATCGGTTGTGAGCGTCGCATCTGTCGGTGTTGTATTTGCATTGATTGCCACTGCGTCTATAATGAAATGGTCCGAAACTGGTCAACTTCTGTGCAACACTCCAACTATGGTACGTCTAACCTTTCCCTTTCCATAGTCCGCCTTGTTCATCATAATCCGCTTATCATAAACTCCGTAATAACATAACCTCTAGATTATCGAAGGGTTTCTCCTTCTAATCCTCATCCAAGCCCATAACATCGCCAACGCCGCCCGCGGAGCAGACTTCCAATCTCTCCTCAAACATCGTCTCCTCCTAAATCACTACGTCTGCGAGCTCTCTGAGAACCCGAATTGTTCTAGCTCTCCATACCTCCATAACCCCAATGAAAAATCCGTCGACATCACCGACTTTTATCCCATAGATGACGACGACAATAAAGACATGAAGATATCTGTTCACCAAATAGAGGATCGCGTTTGAGTACCACCATATTTCAATTTCTTTACAACGTCTTTTTCCCCCCCTAAACATTGCCTTTGGAGTTCGGCTTAATGACGACGGGATATGCGATATTTCCTCATGTTATATACTATATACCCCATACTATCTTTAAATCTAATCAAATTCTACTTTTTCACACCATTCTCTCCTCTTTATGCTAAAGACAAACATCCCGATATATTATCCCCTTGCTCACCCGCTTCATGTGTCTACAAAAATTCAACTCTGCTCGTCCACCCCTTTCCCATTCATCTACATATATCCTGCCTCTGCCGTATAAGCAAGGCACATATCCAATTATAACCAGCTTGTATATAACTCAATTATAGATCACAAGCAAACAAAAGAGATAAAGGCCATTGATACATTGCTTATACCTCCTATTTTCATGCCCCTCCTTAATTTCTTCACTAGCTCCCAAGGTTCTTTATGCTTCACTCGCCTCATTTTCCGTCACTGTGAAGAAATATATACACCTTAGTAAAACAATGGAGAGCAAATTCAAATCATACTGAGAAGAGAGAATCAAGTCGAGTTAGTAGTAAAAGTATAATTCAATAAACGAATGTGTACAGTATCTATAAAACTAATGCAGAAGCCAAGCCTTTCGATTATAGCTCAAACCGGCCCAGCCCAGCCAGGCTTCGCCGACACCAGTCAAACATTCATCCATTTCCCCATCAATACCCCAGTCCTCATGTCTTCCCACGTATTCTCATCAAACCTAATCACTCCCTTCATAATTCCAACGCAAGTTAAAACAATCTAATCAATGAACACTCAATCTAGCCCGATGCCAAACATTCGGTCTCCAGCTTCCCGCCACCACCACTCCCCTTCCACTTCCACTCCAACTCCCATCTCCACCCCCTCTCGCTCCTGTCCCCATATCGATTCTCCTATACGTATATCCCAAAAATGCCCCTTTTTTCCTCAACTCCAGAATCTTCGGCGCAATTTCCTTATCCCTCAACAACCTATCTCTTGGCCTCTTCCTCTCCTTTTTCCCAAACGTCCTCACAAACCTCTTTAGATACTCCTTCTCTTCATCCCTCATCGCAAACTGATCAATTTCCTTTTCCAACCTCTTCAATCTAACCGTATCATGCGGTCTCTCTATAAACCCCGTCGCAAGGATTTGAATCTCGCGATTAAATGGTTTAAGCGCATCGGTAATCTGTTGAACCGTCGGTTGCACACTCGCTACACTTTCCGAGAAATCAGAAATCGGTTCTTCCTCATCAAAGTAATGCGTATCATCCATCGACTTGATATTGGGGATAAAAGGGGGAGGCATTAAATGAATACGATCCCATTGAATATCGCGAAACCATTTATGCGCTTTGATATCTTCGCCATCATTGGGGTAGACGTAGCGACCGGTGTAATCTAGGTTTCGACGAGAGGATACGGAGCCGAGTGTGGTGTCTCGAGATTTGTAGCGGCGGCTGCAGAGGCGATGGTCTTTTTCTTGGATGATGCTACGGATGAGATCTTGGCATCTTCTGCTGACGGATGGACGCGAGGGAAATTGGAATGTGGTTTTGTGATTCAAGATGTTCATCTTTGTTTGTTGTCTTCCGCCTTCCTCTGCAAGAAAAGGTGTATGACCGTAAAGACACTATGATCAAATCAGCATCATTGCCTTCGTGAAAAGTATAAGGAATGGTAAGTCACCTCATAAAGAATGACAGCAACACTCCACCAGTCACATCTAGCATCATACAACTCGCCCCTCACTACTTCCGGCGCCATATACTGACTCGTACCTACCACTGATCTCGCCAGCGTTCGGTTCCCAAAACGATTGCGCCAATTAAGAATACTCTCTGACTCCGACGCATTATCGGAATTCTTCTCATGACGCTCTTTTCCACCCATCATCACATGAGCCATTTTCATAGCCGCAGCTACACTTCTTCCTTCCTTTTTATCGAGAGAATCTCCCTCAACAGTGATCCCAAGTTTATTCAGAAGCGAATATCTGTGATTATGAAAGTAGGCTTGATCATGAGACCAATGTCCATCAAATGCTAATCCGAAGTCAGAGATCTTTAAATGACCAGATGCAGATATCAAGAAGTTGTCTGGTTTGATATCACGATGAATCCAGCGAAGAGCATGGGCTTCTTCGATGCAGAGGATCATTTCGGCAATATACCATTTTGTGACAGACTCAGAGAGAACATTGTCACGAATCAGGAGGCCGAGGAAGTCTCCTCCAGGCATGTAATCCATGACGAGATACAAGTTATTAAGATCTTGGAAACTGGCAATCAGAGGAACAACCCTGTCACGTTGGTTAATATCTTTAATAAAGACATCATTACCTACTACTCACCATCTAGATCCCTCAGCCGCAACGAGAAAATCACGCTCAGCTCTCAAATGGCCTTCTTGGCTATTTCGGAGCATATCCGATTTCTTAATCACCTTCATGGCATAGATACGCTTACTTGGTTCCGATCTATCCATCATCAGTCAATTATCTCCATCAAACAATAAACCAGAATAGTGAAACCTACTCGCTAGCACCTGGAGCCCATTTTTCTCTTACTAATCTCACAACACCAAAACTACCTTTTCCAAGAACCTTAACCACCTCATAGTTCGAAGGTTTATGATCCCTGCCCTTCAAAGCATTGGTACTTCGCACCTTCATGTTTCTGGTCTGTCTGAGATGATTCGTTTCTGCTGTAGCTAATGCTTGGAGTTTCTCGGCTTTATCTGTTGGGGTAGAGATCATATCGTTCAGAAGCTCATTCTCTAGATTCAAGCGGCGGAGAGATCGAGGTGTTATTGCTTTGGCAGTAACCTCATTGTAATAAGTTTCGAAGAAAACTTTTGCAGAAGCTGCCTTTTCGACGGTAATCACAGCTGCAAATTGTTAGTCGTAACTATATTATAGAGTAAGAGGGGAAAGGAAACATACTTGGGACTGGCTGTGGACATTCAGCATTATCACCTTCAGTGATCGATGCCAGAACTCCCTCAGCAGAGCTAACCTCTGCTTGATTCATATTCTTCTGCATGACTTTCTTGTTCTCTGAAGAGTGATGCGAGACACCCACAGATTTCTGCGAGAACTTTGATTCGAGAGAAGTCTTTTGAGTCGATTGTTTAGCATCAGGACCAGATGATTTTCCGCTATTGTTTGCAGATTCTGCACTCGATGGAGGAGTAGGAGCATCAGGCATGACTTCCAAAACACCTTTATCGAGAGAGATCAAACTGGGTCTACTCTTGAACTGTGTTCGATGAACGATTGTAGGTGGAGCTTTGAGTAAAGCCGAGGAGATTTTCTTGCCAAGAGCGACAGATTCGGGAGGAGGTGACAACGGTGCATAATCATCTTCTAGTGCTATACTTGAGCCTAAAATTGCATAACCAACGGTTAGAATAGGTGACGTATAATTGGAAGACGAATAGAGAAGATATTATTTACTGTTGTTAGTTAATGAACGTAAAACCGAGAGAATCTTTGATCCTTGACGTCGAAATTTGGAAGGTCTATGAATGTGATGTGTGGGAGAACTTGGAGGAGATATGGAGTCTAATTGAGTAACAGATTCGAGAAAATGAGGCTTCTCCAATTGGGGAGGCGGCCCAACTTTGTCTACTGCATTAGGGTCGAGTGCAGGACCGATGCGAGTTCTTTTCATTGTCGGGAATCCTCTCAAGAGTGAGATGATGATTATCAATACTAAAATGTAAGAATGGAACTGCTGAACAGCGTACAAATGATTGACAAAGAATGTTGATACTGATGAAGATTACAAGAACGAGAAGAATGAGGAGTAATACCTTTATCTATCATTTTCTATGAGAGCTTCTACTCATGGGGAGATTCTTTTCTCAACAAGGGAAGGCATCACCATCAGACATCATTGGGAAAGGACGATATTGCATTGGTATAATAGTTTTTGTTTATTATGAGATAACCGATTAAAGCAGAATCCCCTGTGTTTAAAACCTAATCAAACTTTTTGAAAATACGCCTGTAGTGCTATGCAAACCTCATCATCCCGTTTTGCGTAGTCTGCTTCCTCTTTAAACAGAGAACTGCTCAGGTCGGAGACTTATGCAAAAACATTACATTGCTGATTGACATGTCATAAATATCATGAAATCGCAGACAGCAAGGAGATACATGAAAGTAAAGAGAAAATTGTACAATAGATATGAAAAGCAAAGTGACCATCAGCATCGAATCAGTCAAAAACGCACTTCTGAAACGATTGAGACTTCCTTATACAAATGACGATGGCGTTTACTTGATCTCAAGGAGCTTGACATCGAAGGTCAAGGTGGAGTTACCTGGGATACCAGGGACACCCTTGCTGCCGTATGCAAGGTGTGCTGGAATTGTCAATCTTCGCTCTCCACCGACTGACATACCAGCAACACCGATGTCCCAGCCCTTGATGACTTCGCCGGCACCGAGCTTGAAGGAGAATGGCTTGCCCTTCTTGTTTGCTAAATTTCAAATATTAGAAAGTTTTAAGAAAATTTCAGGGGTATAAACTTACAATCAAAGACTTTGCCATCAGTGAACTTTCCGATGTAGCGCATGCCAACTCTGTTCCCCTTCTTGGCGACTGGTCCGGAACCAAGTTTCTTGTCATCGATCTTTACTCCGTCGACAGTCTTGACGCCCAATGCAGGCTTCTTTGGGTCTACCTTAGCTGCGGCAGATCCAGTTGGTCCTTGCTCGAGATTCTTAGCAAATTGAACCTTCTTCTCATCCTTAGCGGCGTCCTTCTTGACCTCCTCTGCCTTGGCTGGGACGGCCTCGCCGTTGTTCTTCTTCAACTTCTTTTGTTGCTTCTTGCTAAGCTTTGGCTCCTCAGAGTCAGCAGCCTTGGCAATAATGGCATCGAGGGATGCGGCCTCCTCGATTTCATCAGCAGAGCGCTTGTTCTTGCCCTTCTTGTCGGCCTTGACAAGTTTTGGGGCCTCCTCGTCTTCGGACTCGACCTCGGTAATACGAGCACCATCGAGTTCGTCGCTCTCATCCGAGTCCATCTCGAGTTCGAGTTCATCCTCATCTGGAGAGAGGTCATAGTCCTCATCATCTTCTTCATCAGAGTCATAAACCTCGTGGTGGTGGTTGTGTCCGTTGTCATCTGGGATCACGTAGTTACCAGTAAGGAAGATTGTGTGGCTACCAGTGACCTTGAAGAAAACGGTCTCGTCCTCGCCAATGGTGATGTCGAGAGGTTGTTGATAGTGCTAAATTATGGTCAGCATGATTTCATTGTGAGCGGGGTCTTTGACACATACATTTTCTGGGTCAAGAGTGCAGAGAACATATTCCTCAACCTCAATACCTTCACCATCCTCGCTCTCATCCTCGCTCTCCTCCTCGACCTCGGCGGTGGCCTTAGCCTTTCCTTTCTTGGCGACCTTCTTCTTGTCGGAAGCGTCTTCCATTTCTTCGTCGGAATCGTCTTTGCTGATGGAAGCAAGAAGTTCCTTAAGAGCAGCTTGCTTTTGGGCCTTCTTGGACTTGGATGGGTCGCTTGGTCCTCCATTGGCTTCGTCGTCGTCTTCGCTGTCCTCATCTGATTCAGAGTCATTATCTGCCAACAAAGCACGTAATAAATCATCCGAACCTTCATCTTCATCTTCACTGTCTTCTTCTTCATCCTCAGCACTCGATTGACGAATGACCTTCAAGGTTGATCTAGGCTTGACACCTTCAGCATCATCGGCAGGTTCAGTTGGGTCGATTGCTGCCATGGTAATGCGGAACTAGAGATTGAAATTGTCAACGTTTGTATTTTTCCATTGGAGCCTGCTAGGTGTGACCAAAATAGCAAGCAACATCAATGTAGTAGAAAATAGTGTGTCACTTACGGTAGCTGGAAAATCTGGGACAGCAGGAATGAGAATATCTCCTGCTGGGACCTCAAGGCCGTACATAGCAACTGTAGCGCAAAGTTAGATGGATGTTTTCGCAAGACCAAAACAAGGCAGACGAGAGGATTTCTGTTTACTTACCTGGAAGGAGAGGCATCTTGTAAGGAATTATGAATTGATGATTCAATTGATGTTAATATGATTGAAAAAGAACTGTTTCAAAAAGCAAACAGTAAATAAGAATCTTGAGATGAGGTGAAGAGATTTTAGAGGAAGAGATTGGTGAGCGGTGTCTTGATAAAAGGTAGTTCTTGAAGAAAAGATACCCGACAACTTTTTTTTTCTCATTCTGCGGCACACTAACACACTAAGATAGCTTATCCGTCTACGCTAGTGAGATTTGAGATCCACTATGTGACAACTATTACCCATTGAGGCTTAACGCTTAATATATTGATATAATTTGATTGGTCAATGATTGGTTAATTGACGTTTGTTTTCTCATAGCTCTCCACTGTAAGATTTTTAAAGGTCGAATACAGAAGTCTCGAGAAGTCTCGATACGCCTCGACACTCAGTATATACTATATCACATCTACTCGATATGTCACGATTATGTCAAAATCATATCAAGAATATCAATCACAAGAAGAAAAGGCTTCCACTGTGACATTCACTGGAAAACCAATCTCTATATGCCTGCATCTTACACAATCTGATAACTTGAGAATCTGGCTGCAGATGAGTCGTTTCTTTCGTTTGACAGAAGACAGGATGGAATGACAGAATAGTACAACACTATGAAAATCTTCGAGTTTTGTCACACGCTTCACTCAAGCAACAAACAACATGATGCTACTCCTGCCTTCCCTATCAAGATTTTCTGTCTTTTCCAATACCAAGACCAACTGCTCTCAATATCTGCCATAACCACCAAAGCGTTTCCTTCGTTTTTCATTTGTATAAAAGACACCTTTCTCTCCAACATCTGCCATTGCCATTACTGCCTCTGCTGCTGGACCAGGGAACTTTTGTCTTATATATGCAGCAATCATTTCTAGTCCATTGGTAATGCCACCTATCTGCGTGTTAGTTGCGCGCACATACTGTGCGAATCATAAACTTACCACTACTCCAAATATTATGATCCACAACCCACCTCCTATCATCATCCATTTTGTGTCCGGAAACTCCTTCTTCAGCCGCGGAATTAGAGCTCTTGGTCCACTAGCACTCAATCCTTTCAAAATGCCACTTTGAGCCACTAAGAAAATTCCCGTGCAGATGCTTAAGATATCAACCTTCTCTCCATTCTCTCCCCTCCACTCCGCGTGTGATTTCAAAAATGTTCGTGTGTCTTGATCCAATACTGTTCTAGGATCTGGTCCCGGAACCATCACGATGTCCAACATACCTGGCTGCACTTCATTGTCTATTGTAGTTTTCGATATTCGAAGCATAGCGTTAGCTGTCAATCTCACTTCGGGCCCTGTGGAAGGAAGAGATATATAGTATATCGTACAACTAATCCCAAGTCCGATCAATGGGGGCGGTAACCCACATTCAGAAAGATATTCTGGTGAAAGCATGAAAAAAATGTCAATACCTGACATATCAAGAAGCTGGCATCCAGCTGGATTGAATACGCCAATACGAAGGTGTTTTGGAGATGACATGATTGCCTTTAGATGAACGAGACAAGTAGTTGATTTACTCGGATTACGACAAGAATGAATTGGTACTTTATAGGAGTGGCTGTAGATGTTTGTTCTTGTGTTGCGGTGAAGATTTTATAATGTCGCTGGATATAAAGGATATCCGGATGTTAAGATACAAACGATTAACCCCCTCTCATTACGCAAACACCCTGCTGTATAGTTGTTAAGCCAAAATTTTACAATACAATTTTCACTCCTCCGTTCATTCCTCCATTCATCCGCAATGAATCAAACAGTCCGTTTTCTACAGGGCGACTCCGTCACTCTTCCCCATGCATTTCTCAACCTTCCCCAGAATCCCAATACTTGTCCAATTTTACTTTTAGTTTTCTTTCCCCATTCACCCTTTTTACTTTCCACTCTTCCTTTTCCCTTGTCATGCCTTCTCGATGAACCACGGGGTCTTCCTGAGGAACTTGCTGAATGTCTAGATGAGCCACTGGAAGTACCTCTTCTTCTTCTTCTTCTTTTTGGGCGAGTAGGTTGGGTCTTTCATTTATTATTAGGATGTTCATTCCAGCATTAAGAATAAAATTAGTAATGAAAGTGAAAATGCTTACATCAAGTCTTCTCGGGGAAGGTTTCGTTCCCTCTTCATCTTCATCATCTTCCTTATTCTCGCCCCCTTCATTCACATCTTCACTAGCCTCACCGTATACATCCTCTCCAACTTCTTCCACAGTGGCTGATCCCGCGCTCTAATAATATTATTAACACAATATCCACAATGCAACAAAAACACAATTGAAACATACTCTACTTTTATGGGCCCCTCCATACCCTCTCTGTCTCCCACTCGAGCTCACCGAACTCACCGAACTCGGAGCTCTACTCCTCTTACCCTGCGAAGATGAGGATGAAGATCCTGATGAAAGGCTAGAGGCGACACTACGCGGCATTCTTTTTAACCCTCTACCGTTTTGTTTTGGGGGGCGGAAATAATGTTAAAGAGGGTATGGTGAATGGGAAGAGAGATAAGAGTCTACATCCATATACCCTAAATCTTGAATCGCCGCCTGAGGTCGGGAGATAGGCCGGTGAAGTTGGTTGTTGAAGAGATTTTTCACAGTCCGGGTTGGTCGGGTTTAGGGCTGGGACTGGAGATATAATATGCTTGGGCAAGGGCGGGAACAGGATGTTGTGAGGTAGGTTGTGAGGTAGGTTATGATAGAGGCTGTAATGTTTGTTCATTGTATGATGATTAATGGTATAAGATGATGATTTGAGATTTCAGGAAATAAAGATACGGGATGTAGAATAATAATGAGATGGAATTTTGTAATTGAATTTCACGTTGATGTCGCTACGAGACTTTAAGAAGCGGGTATGATATATACTAACTACTCAAGTATTAAGATCGAATAGCAAAGTCTCATGATGGAAGGAAGATAAGTGTAGTATCTAGATGTAGATATGACGCATGAAGCTGTGGAAAGCAGTATGTTTAAGTAGTGCATGGAATGACGGAACCTGTTTAACTCTCAGAATCTACAACAAATCCATTTTTATATCGTTTAATATCAGAACCCGGGGTTTCATTGTTAAATTCGTAATGAATCATTACGTTTAATCTCAAAACACTTGAATTAGCAGTTCAAGAAGTATCGCTGAGTCAATCTTCGCAGTATCCCATCAGTTCGTGCAAAATTAGAAGCAAACCAAAGCCCTTGGGTTGAAACTGAAAGTTGCACCCTATTCGCGACCAGATTTCCCTCCAGCTCCAATTTCATACCGCTATTACCAAACAACCTTGTTTGGTTGAATCCTTAGGAATATTTTTGTGCGCGATTCGTTTCGCCCATCCAATTGCATGAATGCAATTCCCCCAGGCTACTTCTGGTGTAAAATATGAGTAGAATCATGATTCAAATACTAATATATGTAAGTTGAATTATGAAGGTAAGCGAAAATAACGAGGAGCAGTGTAGATATACCAGATATTCATCGAATCTCTCATATCTGGGAACGAGAAGGCCCGGAGCAAAGCTTCCTTCGACAAAGCTTAGGTTTGGGGAACCTTCTTCTTGTTCAAAATCGCGGTCTGCTTCCATGTGGCATCTGCGGCATCTTACAACCCCGCGAAAGTTGGAGGAGGTACATGATTAATCGCCTGATTTCATGAAATGTAGACAATCTAGATAACAATGCCCATGCGGTCTCCCAGAAACTCGAAAATTACGTACCGTACCATCAAGAACGAAAACCAATAGATCGGAAAAACTTGCAACAATTCATAAACTCATGGCCATATGACCCTTCCAAATATGATTCTTTTGTATCTTTGAAACTCAGCAACTCTGACGGCGTCTCATGAAAGGGGCCAAGAAATACGAGTATTTCTTCAAGAAATGTAACACCACGGTGTTGGAAAGCTTTCAATAACCTTCCTTACTGGTCCGACTTAGGCTGCTTCCAAAACCTTAGTAGATGGGAAGGCTGTCACAGCTCATCGCGAGACATTTGATGTGCGCGCCAATAGGATTCTAACAGAATCTCTCTTGCTCGTACATAATATCCTTGCCTCTGGAATCGAAACATGTGATGCGTTGTTTCCGCTTTGAAGAGTGTTAGCACTCCAAGGCAACGGCTCTTGACTCGACATAAGCAGCGATGATACCAGGATTTGGGCGCACATTATGGTTGTAATCACTACGACTAACAACCCCGTTCTTACAAAAGATATTTCGTCCATGCATGTAACAGCAGAGCATTCACAGAAAGGAAGCAGATTTTTGCTGACTGTACTAGGTACATTAGGAGAATATAAGCACGTTACTCCACTGACTTGTGGTTATACTCTGTACTTCACTCATAACAGCAATGATAGATGTTATTGACGAAGCATACCGCATCGAATTGAGGGTGTTTTCGTGACTAAAAGCCATCATACGCTGGACTGGTACCGATAGAAAGATGATAACTAGAGAGTTTGAACCTTAGGATCATATTCTCAAGACTGTATGTAATGCTGATCCTATGGCGAGAGGAAATTCTTATAATAGACCAACGGGTATGATGTTGTAGTGTGATAGAATGATAAGCACCTAGTATGGTATGCACTGTAGTCACTAAATCTTAGCGGCGTTCGTTAGAAAACTCTAAGGTAAATTGATGACCTTGGCAAGAGACGACACATTCCGTTTCCATTCTCCGGCATTGTGCCAGTATCCTCCATGGATTCCATGAATTGATTCCAGTCCAACGCATTATATTGATTTATTGACTTGCTTGTTTATATATCAACTGATATAAACATCGATTGATCCAGTACTAGTCCTTACCACCCCTATTGACCTGCCTGTTTGAGTAGCACCACCATTTGAGAAAAGACCCACCAGGAATTTCAGGCTGTTTAACGACAAGCACACCACTTAAAATACTTCGTATGAGATCTTACACTGGATACAAGGATATATGTTGCCCATGATGATGATGTTGCAATGCAAGAATAGCAATCATGAAACCTTTTCGACTTTCAAAGCTTATGACAATTCCACCGTTGGATGAGAGAAAACTTCTTAAAACCGTGGAGGCAGACAATGCTCCTTATGAAAGTGAGGCTTCGAGGAAGTCCCGGGTGAAGCACCAAAAGGTCAAGACGGGATGCTATACATGCAAGTATGCAAGTCTTATCTCAATGTTACAAGATTAAACAATTATGTGCCATACTAGCATGAGCTGATACCCAACTTCTAGACTGCGCCGAGTCAAATGCGACGTATGTAATACTTTGTCGACTAATTGCCCAGGAAATATAGGGGCAATTCCACAACTCTATCACAAGCCATGTGTTAACGAATGACAGGAAACGAAACCTTCTTGCAAACGATGTAAGAAGACTGGAATTCAATGCGAGGGATATCCATCACATGTTGTCCAACGATCATCGCGGGCGTATACGAATCGCATGTCCATAGTAGACTCTCCCCCACAATTACAATCACCCATTGTCAATATACACATCGGTCCTATCCTAGAAAACGAACAGGAATTTCGATATTTTCAATATTTTCGCGAAACATCGGCTGGTGATATCGCGAGACTATTTAATCAATCAGTCTGGGAGCGACTGATTCCCCAGGCAAGCGAATCCGAACCTTTCGTTAGCCAAGCTCTGGTTGCCCTTGGGGCGTTCAGTAAAGGTCGCGCGGCAAATGGTATAGAGGCGTTTCTACACCGTCAATACGGTCTTGATCAGTATGGTAAAGCTCTCATCGGAATGAGACAAGCTCTGAACCCAAGCTCTTACAACGCCCGCAAAGCACTCATTGCTTGTTTGCTCGTGTATTCAATTGAAAGTATACAGGGACATCTTGCAACGGCGGCTTCCCATGCTGCCAGTGGAGAAAATCTTCTCCACGAGATTATGCTCGACAAGAAATCCAAAAACCTACCACCCTTCAGCTGTCAGCAAGATTCTACAATTGCCGATGACCTGTGCAGAGCCTTCTCAGATCTTGATCTTCAAGCACTGTGCGTGATTGATCGTCGATCTTCAAAGCTTCACGAGCGACGAACTCGTGATTTGAATCATTTGTTGCTATCAATGCCTTCTTCGTTCTCAAGTATCAAAGAAAGCCATGACTGGTGGCAGATTATAATGCGGAGAAACTTTCATTGGATAGCGACGGCAAGAAAAACTATCCTCGAAGAACGACCGAAGGATGACGAAGAATCCATCGTCTATGCAGCCGATGATGAAGGGCTAGATCTCAAAGATGAGAACTGTTCATGGACCTCTGTCGCGGTCATACCTAGTACTAACCCGACTCTTAGACGGGATTGTACCACCTATCTTGCTGAAATTCTGCGATGGGAAAGTATCGCAGCACCATTAGTAGACAAGGGACTACGTGCTGGCGAAGATTCTCGAGAATTTCTAGCTGCATGCCTTGCTAAAATACAGGCCGCCATGATGATGATACAAGTAGCAAGTGTGTTCATTGTCAACGCAATTGAATGGGACGCATATTTTCAAGAGTTTGCTACAATCATGGAATATGTAACTAAACTTCGACCGCGTATCATTCAAGGAGAGGGGAAGTATCACTTTGACTTTGGCGTGATACTTCCGATGTTTATGGTTGGAACACATTGCCGAAATCGAGAGTTAAGAGGTCAAGCGATTGATACTCTCAGAGAAGCTAAGGGTTACCGAGAAGGCATTTGGGATTCAGATGCATGTTCACGAGTAACTGAATTTACGAGAGATGTAGAAGAAGAATGGGCTGATGAGAATGGATGGGTTCCTGGAGAGAGACGATTTACTATCACGGGAACTAAAGTTACAGTTGATAAAGGCAAATCACTGCACATAAGTGGATATCAAAAGAATGGAACTTTAGAAGGGAAGGGTGATTTTAAGGAAATATATATAACCTGGTAAATACATACATATATAGTACCAAAATCGATCTTCTCCAAGGTCTTATCATAACTTGTTGTGACATCAAATATTGGCTTGAAATGGCTCATGGTACACCGGGCAGGTTCTCTGCGTGGACACATGCGGTGCTACTTTCCTTGTATTCATGAGATGAGAGTTTGAGTATAAAGCTCAGGGCGAGTGGAATCTCCACATCTGAAGGCAATTGATGCCGTCACAGATCAAGTGAATAAAAGGGTTATCCTTGGTAAGGGGCGACAACTCAAGTGGCAAATTTATGCTCGATTGTCAAGAGAGACGACATTGATAACACTTCAGTACATTTTCGAAGTCTATTGACAATATCTACACAGAGATGAATATATGTACTTCAGATGTAACACATAGAACATTAGGATCGTCAGTACTACCTAAGTAGATGCAAACAATAAATTGTTACCACCCAACTTCAAGGCTGTGAATGTGAATGTCGTGGGTGGAAAGTCAATACCCTTTCAAAGCAAGTCAAGCAATCTGGCGGATGGCCTAACCAATACCTATACGAGAGATTAATTCATAGGCCATAGAGATAGCCAACGGAAAGAAGAATTGATCTGATCCTTCTCTTTCATTTCTTTAATAGATACGTAGAACACCTCCAGCTTTGCGAAGTTCAGAGCTTTGAATCCTTATCAATTTCTAAGTCGTACCTGCCAACCTAGTAGGTATTAACAAGATCTAATCTTATCAACATCTCACCGACTCCAAAATTTCTAAGGCAGTAGTGCCGCTAGTCTCAATAGAATCTAGCGCGAATCCTGAGCCTTCAACGAACAAAAGAAGGCTTGCTTCCACCTGTGCGCCCCTCCGGTTACATACACCATACTACGACCTTTTTTTCGCATCAACGCAACTCCAATAATCAAGATAATACTAGAAATTGACAAGCGGACGTAACGTTTGAAAGAAGAGAATTTGTAGCCAAGCTATGAATCGAGGTGGTAAACTTGCTCCTGAAGTTAATCGGTACGTCTCCCCGGGTTCATTGTTCATTGTGCCTGTACTTGGTCGCGTGAGCCGGCTCTTCAATGCTAGAATCGAGAATCTATAGCTAACAAATGTGCTGATTGTAGAGCTTTGTTCGTCAAGAATCTAAGGTATGTGGATTGATGCAGGAAAGAGCAGATGTGGAGACTTGGAGATGGGGTTGTGGATTTGGTGTACATGGAAATCGGATTGAGGTGCATAGGGCTGATGATATTTGGAATAATAGCTACAACGTAACGCCGGAAGAACTCTTTGATCTGTTTGGCAAATTCGGTGCGATCCGGTATGTATATTGGAAGAGAGGCAGCAATCTCAGGCGAGATCTACATCAAGAGTCTCTATTGAGGTGGACCTGTTCGATCTTTGAGAATTTACTGACAATGCGCCAGACAAATTCGTCAAGGTATCGCTACCAACACGAAAGGTACGGCATTTGTTGTCTACGAAGACGTAACGGATTCTAAGACTGCCTGCGATAAATTGAATGGGTTCAATTTCCAAAATCGATACCTAGTCGGTACGTCTGCGCTCCGCGTCTCTAATACAATCGAACTTTCCTGTACTAACACTTGAGTAAACAGTTCTCTACCATCAACCCGAGAAAATGGAAAAGATGCGTGCCAACTCAAATCAATCGGATTCATACGCTGCTCGCAAAGCGAGTTTAGAACAGCTCAAAACCGCGAACAACATCGAATAACAATCTGACGGGCCCCTAACTCGCCCAAATACTGTATCTAATATGGAGTCTACAGCGTCTATGGGCCCGTCATCCAGGGTTGGAAATGTTTCGCCATCGAAGGATTTTAGGAATAAGAAAGCACGACGAACACAATCTGCACCAATTACAACAAGGAAATCTCCTACTACAACTGTTATGCATGGAAAGGAAGTAAATTATCAACATTTGGAACATCGTGGAATCAAGGGTGCAGCGATGGCAGGTGGAAGGCGTAATACCTCTTTCCTCGCTCTTGTGCGGGGATTGGTTTTCAGGCGTTAGAGGGTGTTGTTGATTTATTGAAGGGACAGGAAAACCCTCGCTTTTTACATGGATTTTTTCCCTTTACAGCTTAACTTACTATTCTCCTCTCCTACACTTTTGTGGAAAGAGAGCAACTATTTCGATATGCAATGGGGACGGGACAGCTTCTACTGCTGAGATTGTGATATTTCTTCTATTCAGGAGGGCGGCATTTAACTCGCGAGGCTGATTTTTCTTTTCCTTGGATGCTGATTGTCGCACATGTTACCATCTGCTTCGAATGCAAAATTGCTACATTAGGGCCTTATTGATTCGTATTTTACACATTCACTGCCTCAAACCCATTCCATTTAGCCTTGCAACGATGTCTGCCTAGCCCTTCTACCTTGTTTGTACAACATTCCGTTCGTTTACAACATAGAGGTGGGAATAATAATGCCTAGTAAGGCTCTCCGAGCTCCGTAGACTTCTCCGTGGAAATCTCATTCTCGTGCAACATTGCTTTGTGTTACAGTAAAAATTCCGCCTAGACCAAATTGCTACACGGCTCGTGCGTGCTTCTGTCGGATATCGGACGGTCGGATGAGTGATTGACTTGCATAAAGAGCATTCATTAAACTTTGGTCACGAGGCACGAATATGCGTAAATTGCGTGGATGGATGAAATGAGGAAAAATGTGTGATGTTGGGATTGGTTGGTCTCGTAGTGCGTATCTGAGATTCTTATCACAAGATTATGATAATCTTCCCGACGGAGACGGTGACTTCCTTGCCGTTGGTTTGCGGGGCATAGCTAAGAATTTGAGATTTGGTAAGAGGGTAGTGGTGATAGGTTGAGGGATGTTTGCTGGGTAGATAGATAGGGTATAGATGGGGAAGAAAGGGATGTGTTATTTATGTTACGTGGGGATGCTCGAGGGAGCGAGGGGGGTAAGATTGGATGAGAGAGATTCGGTGAATTTGTTTAGGAGGGGGAGGGAGGGTTGGATGCGTTTTCTTCTTCTTCGGAGAAGTGTATCTATTTATTCATTGAGTACCTTTCTATTGTGAAGGAATCTACTTATCTGTCTATCTATCATTCTTCTGAACTGCACATCTGGTCTTGACATCGAAAGCTTTTGTATTCTACGAACATCTGCCTGCCTACTTGCCTGCCTTTTAAGAAACACACACACACACACACACACAAAGTCGAAAGTCAACAACAATATGCAAGGTCTTCAAGTCTTCGTTAACCAGGGCGGTTTGGCGTGTAGCTGCGGTGTTGCGTATCCAGAGGGCGCGGATAAGGATACTTATGTTTGCAGCTGTGGAAAGGTAAGGAATTGAGGAGAGGGAGAGGAGGAGAGAGGAGATGGATGATTAGACGGATGGATGAATGTGGATAGGAGGCTAATCAATCTTTGTATTTCAGAAATGCCCAAGTGCTAAGTAAATGGATTGTATATGGGGAGAGGCGATTGGAGGTTTCGATATATCGCAATGTGGATGATGAGTTCGCGGGAGGGGCTTCTTTTGGGACGGTGATGGGATGGGTTGTTTGAGCGTTTGGATATGCATGCGATCGGTTTTCGCGATGGGCAATGGGAGACTTGCTTGTCATGGCTGTATGGCGTATGGAGGTGTATGGAGAGGGGCAATTGGATGGTCGGTCTAGAATGGAGATTGGATGATGCTTTGATGATTTGATGGTTGAGGATTGGGTTTTGAGAGGTTCATACCTTACTGAAATGGGAACTTGTGTGTTGTGAGTAACAGCTGCTTGTGCTCTGTGATGTGTGAAGTTCAATAATGGTGAGATTTGGTTGTGTTCCGCATACTGTATGTAGTAGCTGTCGTGCAGATATCCATTCTCGTAACTCGATTCATTCGTTGGTGATATAAGAACCCCATCTCCAACCTGACATCTCCAGAGTCACAAGTGTTGTTTCCATTTAACCGACAACCTTTCAAAATCGGATCAAACAGTTTCACCCATGCGGCTATTCGACCGTTTGACTCCTTGCTTGAGAAAGAAGCTCCTGGTATTTGAGACAAGGAACCATGCATCTTATGTTTCACGTTATTTCAATATAAGCCGCCGACTTATCCATCGTACTCCATCGTTGGATCAAATGTCCTGTGTAAGAGAACATCAAAGTAAAAAGGGGTATTCTGAAATTTGGAGAACAAATGGCATTTCCCCTCTCTTCATCTCATAGACAACAAGCGATAATAAAGTATTGAATAAAGTGCAAAATTAACCCATTCGTGTGGAGAACAAATACTATATTTGAGACATATGAAACTCTAATTTTATGGTTACGAGCCTCTTCAACATAGCCGCCACTTGATCATCAGCTTTGAAAAATAACCTTGATTTCAGATCTTTATTGTGCTGTATTGAGTTGTCTTGTCTTGTCTTGTCTTGACTTGTGTTGTTGCATACAATTTTTTGCTTTCATGTTGTCTTATTATACTCTTCCATATATCAATCAGTCTTTGTTCTGTCATTCATCTATCAATCATAAATTGTCATTCCCATCCATATAATCTGCTTCGCCTAGTGAGGTCATTGCGCACTTATTACCATCTCTAAAGATAACCTTAAGAGAGTCCCTGTTTGCGGGCATTACAAACATCAACGACATTCAACTGTCGATATTGATTCCATTTCAATTAGAGAATATTACCAGGATTTCGCAGACGATCACTTGTTAACTCTACATATCACCGCAGGCCTTTTATATCCCATACACGTTTAAGAATATCGACTGTCGTCGTACAAAACAGCTAATGCTACCGCCACCGGGCTTGGAGCCCACATCAACATCAACTCTCCTCAACGATGTCTCTCCCACTTCCATTATCTCCTCTGCAATAGCAACTTCTTCGGCATTGTTACTCGATCTCGTAAATCCATCGTCTACAACAGCGACAATGCTCGCCACCGCAAAAGATGAAGATTCCCCAGACTCGGACAATGGAGAATGCCAACTTCTTGGAAATTTTGCCATATTGGTTCAGGGTTCGTTAGGTCTGTTGGCTGTGATGGCATTGGTATACAAAAGATGGAGAGAGAGACCTCAAAGACCTATGAAAATTTGGTTCTTTGATGTTTCAAAACAAGTGGTTGGAAGTGTGTTGGTTCACATCGCAAATTTGTTGATGAGCATGTTATCGAGTGGACAATTCAGTATCAAATTGGATGCCAGTAATGTCGCGAAAAGAATGGTCGGTGATTCGGGGCAGTATAAGCCAAATCCATGCAGCTTCTATTTACTGAACTTGGCTATTGATGTAAGTATATTCGTTCATGATACGATGCTTCAACATATGCTAACATTTGACTATAGACAACCATCGGCATTCCGATACTCATATTTCTCCTTCGAATACTTACCTCGCTTTTTGTTATGACACCATTTGGCAATCCTCCCGAGTCGATCGAATCAGGCAATTATGGCCACCCACCAAAAGCATTCTGGTGGTTCAAACAATCTATAATTTATTTCATCGGTCTGATGGGTATGAAGATATGCGTGCTCATCATCTTCCTTGTCCTTCCTTGGATTTCACGAATTGGAGACTGGGCACTGAGATGGACAGAGGGTGATGAAGCATTACAAGTGATATTCGTCATGTTGATCTTCCCTGTCATCATGAATGCAACTCAATATTACATCATCGACTCGTTCATCAAGAATCAAAAGCCTGATCATGAGCTTATACCAGATGAAGACAGCGATAGCGATCTTGAGGGAAGAGACGGGCGTTATGCTGATCCGAGCGGAAGCAGTGATGGAATCCAGTCTGAGGGGGAGGAAGATGATGAAGTTTTGGCAAAAGCTCATAAAAACACTAGACCAGAAACACCAAGAAACAAACGTGCAGGTTTGAGGTCGGGAAACAAAGATTATGATCCTCTATACGATGGCGAGAGTAGTCCAACGGTAGTAGGAAGCACAAGTTCGAGACCAGGGGATGATAGTGATAGCACAACGAAGAAGTAAATTACCCCGCCATTTTGGGTTGAGGAAATGGATACAACTGTTAATACGAGGGATTGGTATATGACTTTTGAGTACATACTGGAGCAGAGTACATTATGCAAGGTGTTTGAGGAGTTTAGCACATGGGATTTCCGTCGTCGGTCACACATAGACACACATCATATTGGTCGGAGAGTTTTGATGAATAGGCGTCTTCACGGCATGACATACAACTGATTTGTGAATTTGGCTAGGTCTAGTCCTGTATGGGGCTGTAAATAAAAACATTTTTCCTCTTTTACAAGTTTTCAATATTTGTAATTGTAATATCTTCTTTTTGTACAAAATGACTATGAATCCGGCTAGTTTTGATGTGATGTGATTTATATATTTTCTAGCAAGTGCTTGTGATATGCATCGAGAGATCTGCTCTGCTTGCAATTAATGTAATGTTTCCACGAGTACATGAAGGCGTCCCGGAGTTGGTATGTATGCAAGCATTTTCGAATCCGCAAACAGCAGGTTTGATACTCGACACTTCTCAAAGTTGTGATTTTGAACAAAGAAATCAACGACTTTATATTTGAGGGAAACATATATAAAGATTGTGATATCATGTTTCAATATATTGGGAATTTTGCTGCGGTATACTATCAATTAAGTCGAGGGGAATTCACAGTTAAACGAGGCCTCCCTAACATTTGGTGGTTACTAATACAACACCACTTTTCCGACAGGATCTACAAACGCTCTTCATTGAAATTTTGATCCTATTAATATTTATCGACGAGATATAATTCTGCGTACTGCGATTTTTGGCATCTTTAGTCAGGTAGGTAGATCAAATTTACCCCAACTTTGCGGGAGGGGCTGAGAAGTTGGTCGGGCGGTTAGGGGCCAGGGTCGACTTCCTGGCGTTAATGTGGAGGGGGTGCATTTATATTTATATATGTGTAGGATATATAAATCTACCTATATATTAAGGAGGGGTCTTGAGCTTCTTTGGAAAAAATTGGGTTTCTTGTTTGCATTTGATCGCTTTTTGCTAGTCTATTGTTGTTTCATTCGAGGAAAGGGAAAATATTCAACGAGGATATCATCAAGATCTAAGTGAGAGAAACAAAGGGAAACATGGATTCGAATCTCTTTCCTCAGTTACCAGGACAGTGTTACACACCTGGGAGAGCGATAAAAGCAACTCCGAGATTTGAGGAGAGCGTGTGGGAACAACCTGTTAGTTTATTTTTCATATTTTTCATATTTTTTTCATCGTCGTTGTCGTTTTGAGAGGGAAGTGAGAACTGACAAGATACTTAGCGTCCCCTCTCTTCAGGTATGGCTATGCAATATCCTGCACCGTCATCGCCTCCAACCACGCAGTTATTGTTGCAATCGCGTGTGGATCTTATCATGAGTGGGAAGAGAGAGGAGAGGACGGGGGGAGCGAAAGGGTTCTTGAATGGGCCGATGGAGGAGGAGGAGCAGGAGGAGCAGGAGGAGAGTGAGGGGGGTAAAGATCTGCATATGAGAGGTGGGGGGACGATTTGTGATTTGTGTGTGGGGATTTGTGCGGGTTTGTGTGTTTATGAGTGTTTGAATTGTTGTTGTTGTTGTTTTTAGGGGGCATGAGAGGGATGGGTAGAGAGGGGTGCATAGATGGAAAGGAGAATGGTGTTTGATGGTACTTTTTATGTGATGGGAATAGAAATGGAGTTTTGGGTTGGTAATTAAGAGAATGGAGTTTCAGCGTGGGGAGAAGATGACAGAGCTTGATGCTACTGCTTCTACTTCTGCTTGGGTTTGGGCTCGGGTTTTGGGACTAGGGGGCACTTTCATTGTTGATATTTGATGTTTGGTTTCTTTGGGCAGAAGAGGAAGTAGTAAAAGGGTTTTCATGGGATGGTGTAGGGATTTGGATTCACGACTTAGGGGAACTATCTAGATGTCTGGTTTCACAATTCGTTGCTATCTATCTGTCTTTCTGTTCGCCTCGTCGATATGTCGTTTTCAGTGTCTTGTGCTATGCCTCCAATCTTACAACCTTATGGAATCTACATATCCGTGATTACTTTCTTGTGAGATACCTAGTCTTCCATTAGAAATTACTTCACTTGTGGCTTTCCTAGATCCGGTCGATTTGATTGCATATTCCATCATATCCTATGCGGTGCGCTGCGAGATGTATAAGCTTCTATCCAGCAGTCTTGGAGTCTCAAGAATAATACTCAATGGATCTATCTAATTTGAGACATCCCATCCCATCTCAGAAGGTTCAGATGATATCTTCATGCATCATATCACTTGGATTTATCGTATCAATGGATAGACAGTTCTGTTGCATGTCTAACGCGTATTGCTTTCGCTAGAGAATTGAGGCTAGTTAGATAGGTAGTTTGTAGGTGTGTTGTGTGGAAGCTAGCAGTAAGCTAGCAATAAAGTGGTATTTATATATTCTACAGATATGCAACAACAGTATTTGAGGTTGGATATTCACTCCTTCGTCTAACGGATGTTTGGTCAGTACTTCGAATCACTAGGTAGATAGTAATTCACTCGGATTATCGGGGAGAGGGAATTATTGTATGTCTGATGTTCTGCTTTCTTAATCTTGCTGAAGAGTCAAGCTAGTAAATGAGACAAAACTGAAAGTGAGCTAGCAATGAGCTAGCAACATACCACCGTCTATTTTTTCTTCAGATATGCAACCAAAAATCGAGATGTCGGATATTCACTTGCTCGTCCAATAAAAGTATCTCGGTAGATAGTATGGTACAAGGTAAGGTAGTGAGTGACTCACTTGTATTTTACTGGGTTTTGTTGCATATCTGATATTACTCTTTCTTACTCTTGCCAAAGAGTCAAGCTAGTAATCGTGCGGAAAAGATGGTAAGCTAACATTGAGCTAGCAATAGGCTAGTAAAATATCACTCTTTATTTATTTTTCAGATATGCAACAAAAGAGTTGGTGGCTGGATATTCACTTCCTCATCCAATAAAATCGTCTCGATACGTTGGATAGAGTGGCAATAGTGATTCACTGGAATTTCTGACGGATTTGGTTGCATATCTGATGCGAGTTAGCTATTGCTAGTGTGGGAATGTCTGCTAGTGATTGTCTGGCAAGTACTAATAGTGATTTGAATTGGTGCTAGTAAGCTGCTAGTGATATAGTGGTAGCTATATATTTTTCAGACGTGCAACAGAAGGGTTGAGATGTGGGATATTCGCTACTGCTATTTCCGTTGGTAGATTCATGGGGAAGATGTAGTCTGGAAGAGTGAATATGGAGAGGACGATATGAAGTGAAGGTGGTGAGATGGGATGATTTGAAAGTGAGAGTATGGGTAATAGATGAAAGGATGGAATGGAATGTTTTGCAATGTCATTATGAGGATGAAGTTATGAGTAATTGGGTAATGCATTATTTCTTCTTCGTGCTTTATGTATTAACATCTGACTATCTATCGAGGGTTGGGCAACGACGTATCTACTTATTCCATCCCATAAAACCACCCCATTGGTTCAAATCATCTATGCACTTTTCTCCTTCACCAATTCCTTAATTTGCGTCTCAATGATGCCAATTGGATCCATACTCTCCATCTCCTTCTTGATTTCCTCAACTTTCTTCTTGTACTTTTCATCCGCGAGCACCTTCTCCACCTCCCCTCTCAAAAACTCTGCATCGGGTCTCGCAGTCTTCAAATTCACACCAGCACCAATCCATTCACATCTCGCACAATTTTCTGGTTTATCTTCCGTCTCTCCACCCATCACCATTGGAACTCCATTACTCAAACCATGTTGGAATCCTCCATATCCTCCATTCGTAATAAAAACATCACAGTAGGGAAGTATATCATCGAAAGGAATGAAATCTTCTACATAAGCATTTTTGGGTATTGTTACCGAGTCTGGTAGTGAAGCACCTTTGACACCTAGTGCGGCAATAACAATAGTATTGTCGTGATCTGCAAATGCTTTGATGGTGGGTATAATCAAATCTGCGTAATTGAGCGCCACGGTTCCTTGACTAACGAAAACAATTCGTTTTTCAGATGCATTTGTAGTGACTTCATCCCACCAGCTAGGATGCGTGGTATTAAACACATCTCTATGGCCCTTTGGTAGACCACCGGAGAAAACCAATGTCTTGGGCAGATCGGTCCGAGGGTATTCTACACTACGCGTACACAGTTGAATGACTCTATCAGGAAGAAGATATGGCGCATCCAGGAAAAACAAACCTGGATTTTTGGCGCCGCAAACTTCGAACTGGTGGTGGAAAAGCTGGGTGATGTGGAGGAATGGTCCGTTTTGCATGTGAGCATGCATAGCTTGATTACGCTCGCGTCCTTCAGGAGAGCTATCTGGGAAAAGCCCTGATCCCATGGGTGGAACATCTGGACTTGATAGTACGATTGGTGTGATTCCCAGGGAGATAACTGCTGTGGGCTTGATACCTGGTGCTCCCATCAATAGTGGAAAGACACCGGTGAAGATAATATCCTGAATGATGATAATTGGCCTTCCTGGATCTTTATCCGTCATGAGCTTCAGAGCTTTTTGGACGGATTGGAATTGTGAGGGCATAGGATTAAGAAACATATGTTCCATATCGAAAAGCATTTGTGCTGGTCCCTGGAGAGTCTCTCGAACTGGCCATTTCTCCGCCATCCCGCTGGGAGAATCGTCGAAATTTGAATAGCCTTCAAGAGCAATGAATGTGGCGCCGATTGCTTCAATCCCTGCACCAAATTGTGAACCGGTTAGAATGGTTACTTCGTAACCTCTCTCTATGAGAACTTTGGCTATAATCTTGCATGGTGCGAAATGTCCTGACACGGGATTGCTGCATACAAGCAAGAGTGGCTTCAGTGTTTCAGCCATACTTAGGAGAGGAAATGTAGATTGAGAAACGGTATCTTCAGTACGTTGACGCGTGTAAAAGCAGAAAAAAGAAAGTGAACAAAGGTATGACAACAATATTATGATTCCCACTGAGGACCTTCCGAGCTATATAGAAGCGGCTCGGTCTTTGTTCATAAGAAGCTCGTATAACAACGAATGCTCGTTGCTCAATATTACCGTGTGATTGACGTTATATCATGCAGATTACAGATTCCAATCCATGACGCCCCATGCAAGAGCCGCTTATCCCAACGGTCAGATTATCGAATTGATTCATTGTCAGCCACAAATATTTTGGCTGATAACACTCACCTGCATAAGCTGTGGGGGACTTCCGGGTCCTCGACTAGGCTTGCTCGGATTGTCAAGATTCTTATTGTGAAAATCACAATCTACGTCCCTCTTGGGTGATGAAACGTGCACAGATACTGGTACAGCGAATGAAAGGGGCAGTGATTCTCGTTGTCGCCAAGCCATTTGCCCAACAGCACTGTTAATCGTCGTTGGATTTTGCTTGATATGAATGGCGTGGCCAAAGCTTCTATCATAACTCCATCGCTACCACGTCGTAATCAATTGGCCTGTCGTTTGTTATGTATGTCAGATTTTAGACTTACCGCGCCGCACTCAGACTTCAAAACTTCCATTAGATTTGTCAGGATCGTAAGGCTGTGATAGAGTAAGCTTCTGTTCTAAGAATCACTGCATGCGTCGAAGGATGCATTGTCTGCAATTGATTGTCACCGCATAGTAGCTAAATGGGCAGGTCCAGAAGAGACCCCAACTTGAAGCTCTCGAGGCTCTACAGTATCTTCTCCATTAAGGTTGCTCCACTCTACAACTCGACATAATACTACCCACTATATTCCTGATATCACCAATAGGGCGAGTACCGCACCGCGCGCGCGCGACGAGCATGGGGTGTGAAGTATCATCAAATTGCCGAATTAACCTTGCCCTACTACATGGGGCTCGGAAAGAAAGTAAATCGAGTATAGAAATTCCATGACAAATGTCGATCGTTACCAAGACACTAGGGCGATTGTTTGAGATGGTATTTAACAGCCTGAATCCTATGCAGAATCCCCATCACTCGTGCGAGACTTTGAGTATTGCATCATGTAGGCTTCAGAGTTACGATTTTCTGAGGTAATGATGATTCCAGTGCGATGGTGGCGAGACACATGTGTTATTCGACTGGGAGTTGGTCGAAAATGACGAAGTAGGAGGGGGAGGATAATGAAAGCATGTAGGATATGATAGGGTTTACTGGACTCTTCAAATCTAGGATTGGCCTGCAGGAATAACTTCTATTTTAGTGGAGTATCAATGTGTGACTAGATGGAATATTGTATTGGAGGGTGAGTAGACGCTCAAACGCTACCTGGAAGAGAATACCCTAACTCTTGTTGGCGTGAGCTGAGGGGGTTAAAGGCTCTTTCAGGAGGGGTTGTGTATACCAAATTTCTCGTGAAACTGGATTGTAAGGAGCGTTCCAGCCATAGAACATACGGATATGGAGGTATTACAACTACTAATTGCGTATCATCATTCGCGGCTATGGAAAAATCAGGCCAAACGAACCTGATCCTGGGAGGAGAATAGAAAAAGATCTATTTCCCTGGCATATCAGGATATAATACCCTGCACGGAATAAGTAAATGTATACCAAGGGCTATAGACTGTGTATTGATGATATGAGATACTTCTCAAACTCTGTGAATCACTTGAGTCAACCAAGGGGGTGATAATCTAGTACATTTTGCCACATGCTAGAGACAATTGCTGAAAAAGAGGGGAAGATGGCTGCATTTGGACAGTAGCGCGATGAGCAGTGAACGAACTGAAAATGAAGAGGCCTACAATCAAGAGGAGAGATGGCAAGTTATAGGGTGCATATAATATTCGCATTAATAGTTCCCGCCGCCCATGAATCTTCATGTATAATCTGATTCCAAAGCATAACCAGATGGCTCAGTGGATGAGTTCAAACCTCAAAGTATACTGAGAATTCCTATTTAAGTCACTGATAGCGATGATATAAATCATAGGTCACTACAAAGAGAATTCAAAAAAATGGTCAATGACTTGATGATTCACTGGTACACTACGCACATTGTTCTGCGGACTTCAAGCCCCCAGCCTCCGCATCACTAGAAGCTGTTAGGTAAAGAAACAATACACGATTCATAACAGGTTTAAATGATGAAGTCATATCAATTGCCATTGGCTAGAAGATAAAAGTTTCATTGGGCATTATCATCTACTATAAATACATACATAACCCATCACCAATATCCCGACCTTCTCAAGCAAAAAGGCCCCAAAAGATCCCAAAATCATCACATACAGAGGGTATAATAATGTAACAATATAGCACCAGCCATATCATTTTAGATACCACTCATATCATCAAGTCAAATAACACATTATAGAGAAGCCAAACCAAGCCAAATAAGAAAAACATGACATCATATCCAACCATTCATCTCATTGTCGACTTCCCGTCTCAAAGCCGCATATCTACTTCCATCCCACCTCTTTTTTTCCCAGCCTCCACTCCTCAATTTCTCGATTCTTGCTTGGATGTCTTTTCGTTCCATTTCTGCTCTATCCTCATTACTGATATCATCAGGAGAGTTGAATAATGAAGGGACAAATGAGGGTTGGTTACTGCGTCGAGATCTGCGTACGTTTTGTATATTATCGATGAGATTGCTGATATGTGTTATGTGATAGGTAAGTTGTGTTGTTATTGATGAGAGGTTGAGATTATAGCTTGTGAGACGCGTGTTATGAGAGGGGTAGTCCGGGGATGGTGATTGATATTTGGAGGAGATTATAGGTCGAGAGGGAGTGATTGGAGATGGAATGGCAAGGGGGATAGTTTCGAAAACATTTGAGTCATTTTCAGGGCTTTGGTCAGATATAATAAGTGTGGGCAATGCTGGCGAGAAAGAAACTTTCTTCTTTATGCGAAGTGGTGCTGGCCTGTTTGGAGTAGTAGTAGTATCTGTTGATTGCGTAGATTGTATCGATGCGATCGATGATTCGGAAAATGTACGGCTGTGTCTGGGTGCCTTGTCATCGTCACAACTCTCAAAAGAGTAAGATGAGAAAGCTGGTGAGAGTCTATCTATGGTAGAAGGGAATGATGTTGATGAGAATACGGAGTCCACAGAAGAGCGAGCACTGGATGTGGATGATGTCGAAGATGACCGATTGCTTCGCGATGAGTCATTATTATGAATAGGGATATCTGCGTATGTGATGTATTCTTCTGCTTTCTGGAAGTACGACAGAGAATCTCGGAGAAGTAGAAGCCTTTCAGGAGAGTTGTTGGCAAGATTCGACGCTGTTATTTCTAAACAGGTGGCACAATAAAAGGATAAGAAGAGCGAATGAAGAGGATGAACACGATACTGTGAATTCATGTCAGTATGATGATTACATGGCGCATTAATGACTTGACATACTGGGTCCGTGATGCTATTGAGAACCTTTGTACATTGCGCAGCACATTGTTCGTATTGTCGTGTCAAATACAGCTTCTTGACTTCATCCATAATGACCTTCCAATCATCCAAGGTATAAGGGGACGCCAGTCTGCTCCAAATTGATCTTATCGATTTCGGCCTTTGCTTCTTGGTTGTAAGTTTTATTGATGAAGATGTTGATGTTTTGGAAGAAGTTGAGGTTGTGGAATTCCCTTCCACTGGCTGTAATTTGAGATGGATCATCTCTCCCATGCTTTTCAGAATTACTTGAGTGGAGATGCCTATGCCGTAGTTATTTTTACGACAATATATCTTTCCAATGTCTTGCCTCCGTTTGTAGAGACGATATCGATTTCGGACGGTAAACAACTGGTACCCGTGATGCAAGCTCCCGTATCATAACCCAGAACGTCGGTAGTCACTGGGATAATGCAGATCGGTACGCTCAGTATCAACCCAGATATTTGGATGGGCAATGATATGAGTAGATAGAGTATTGAGAAGATTCTAAATTGATGTGGTTTGTTTATATCAGAAATATTGAATGAGAATTAATACATTAGACGCGAGAAATCAACACAACACAGAACAAAATGGTATCATAGTACAAATGGGATGCGAAGGAAGCAAAGAATGAAATAGAACTTTAGATAGCTAGTCTTTAGTCTTATTCATATGATATTAGAGAATAGAAGTAAGTAACCTTTGTACCCAAGACCTTGCGGGTAACTATTTTTTCATCTTACTACCGACTACTTACTACTTACTACTAGGTTCTCACTACTCACTACTCACTACTCACTACTCACTACTCACTACTCACTACTCGCTACTCGCTATCATTACTCACAGCCTCCACTTGTTCGACCATCAAGTATCATCATACTCTAGTGTAGATCTGAGAGGCTTTCCCCACGTGTGATTAGATGATTTAGAAGAAAGATAGGTTCGTCCAAAAATATTTTGGGCGTGATCCACCACATTGGACGTCTGTGAGTGAGCGAGGTGTGGTCGAAAATTCGTTTCGAAACCAAACGCACTGATATATTTACAAGATGTTGTGGGCCTTGTGCTTCACCCCTGAATAGCACAGACTCTATTTGCGAAAAGTCATCAGACTAGGCTGCGCCATTTACCTGTATTTTTGATTACAAGGCTGGTCGTAAAGTATAGAAAGGTACGATCTGATATACTTTCATCTACTACTTTTTGTTCTAGCTCCATCTCAATCTACTAGTCATTCTTTTCACCTATAGACCATCCGCTCTGGAAATTTCAAACACCGACGTCGTTTCGTAATATATCCGAACAACCATCTAATATCTCATGTCATAAGGGAACTGACGTTGAATCCTACAGATCGTGAAAGATCATCGTCATAGATGCTCGAATCATCCCAGTGGATATCAAAGAATGGATATATTAGATGGAATCATGATCTCATGAATAAGCCATTAGTGCATTGTGTCTTACACACCCTATGCTTTTGCGCTGCAAATATGTACATGTAAATTGTTTCAAAGAATTTCGATTTTTTCTTTAGGAAGCAGGAACAGCTCCTATAGCTTCTTGAGATAACAGACTTTCTTCTGCAGGCTTCTCAGTCTCTGAAGCAGGCTCGGCACCCTCTGTTGATGGTGCAGACTCTGTAGGATTCGCTGCCGATGCCTCAGAGGTAGGTGCTTCTGCAGGGATTGCCTCAATCTTAGCCTTATCATCTTTAATGCCCCCAACAACCCTCAGACCATCAGCTTTTCGTGTCATGTTATCGATGTCAGCCTTTCTCTTCAACCGTTGCTTGACTTCGGAGACTAGTGCGTCAAGATTGACCATAACACCGTCCTTCTCCGGGTGGCCATCCCTTAAACCATTCTCCTTAATCTTAACTTTGCCTTGGGCAATTTCATCCTCGCCTAGGATGACGCTGAAAGGTACACCATTAACTTCAGCAGCCTTAAACTGATTTGGCAATTTTGGCTTGACTTTGTATAGGAACTCCGCCTAGGGAACTTGTTAGTACACACGAGGTTCTTCAGAAACTTAGAATATGTTTGACTTACCTTGATACCAGCCTCCCAAAGAGTGGAGCAAATTGACATTCGTTCTTTCAGTAGCCCTGTGAAACCCTTTCCTCCAAATGCCATGACGAAGCAGTCTACGTCGTTGTTGCGTACTTGCTCTGCTGTTTGCTCTTCCTCCATTCTAGCTTTAGTTATAGAGAAAATTCTATCTACACCGAACGAAATACCGACGCAAGGAATTTGCTTTCCTTTTCCAGCAAACATACCAACAAGGTTATCGTAACGTCCACCAGCTGCGACACTTCCAACACCGACGCTAGGGTCTGATGAGCGATCCTCATCAGCATCAGCCACTTTCTTAGGTTTCTTCGAAGATTTTGGCGGGGCAGCAGTGGCAGCAGACATGCTCACAAGAGGTGCAGACCCTTCTGTAACAACCTCATAAATGATTCCAGTGTAATAATCAAGTCCTCTTGCTAAACTCAAATCGAATGAAACATTCTCTAAACATTTGAATGCCTCGAGATAACCGAACAGAAGATCCATATCTTCCAAGCCGGCCTTCATAGAAGCATTGGCCATCAACTTCTCATCAGCTTGTAATTTGCTGAGGAGGTCCTTCTGGCCTTTCTGTACGACATACTCTCCAATTCTGTCTGCAACATCTTCTGCCAAACCCTTCTCTTCTGTCATCTCTTTACGTACATCTTCCCATGGTAGTTTATCGAGCTTGTCAACTGCTGAGGAGATTGTGCGAATCTTGTCCTCTGGAACCCCACAAACTTCGAAGATTCCGTCTAATATTTTTCTGTGGTTGAGTTTGATGGTATATCGTCCCTTCCAGCCAAGACCCTCAAATACTTCAGTTGCAACCCTGATGATCTCAGCATCAGGCAACATAGGGTCATAGACACCCGCGATATCAAAATCGCATTGGTAGAATTCTCTCATACGGCCTTTGGTCATTGCTGGCTGATCTCGTCTGTAGACTTTTGCAATGTGATATCTCTTGATACTTTGAACGCTTCCATTCATGGCCAACCATCTTGCAAATGGTACTGTCAGATCATACCTGAGTGAGCAGATCTCACCACCTTGGTCAGCCAAGTCATAGATGAGTTTGCTGTCTTCGCCATATTTCCCTGCGAGAATATCCTTTAACTCGAAAACCGGGGTATCGATAGTGACTGCTCCGTGACGCTTGAAGGCTTCTGTGATAGTCGCAAAGATTTTGTCCCGAATGACCATATCCTTCCCTTGCCCTATTGAAATAAGTATCATGTCACATGTCGGTGATGATTAGAGATAGGGACGCAATTGTGTATAGCAATGTGACAGGGATATATGGGGGTACCTACAATCCTTCGTCCCCTTGGGAGTCTTCAACTCAAATTTTGGTCCTTTGGCCATGTTTAATTCTTCGTAGTATTGTTTTCTTTCTGCTTTTGAGAGAGCGGGGGTTGCTGGGGCCCAAGCCGAACGTGAATTGGGAATTCTTAAAAGTTGTGGCAGTCGTGAAAGTCGTGACGATCTCGCAGATCTGAGTAAGTGAGTTTGAAAGACCTTCATTCACTTTCTCATATCTATATGGAGTTTTGATAAGGTTGAGAGGGTCAATTTCTTTGATTCTGAGTCATCTGGGGTGCCTCGAATTTTTTGTTTTATGCACAATGGCGAGGCTGAGTACGGTAACTGTAGTGGCATAGAATTCGCTTGCAGTTTGTTGGTGCGGGGAGTTGTGTTGCCTCATTCGATCGGTGATCGGTGAAATCTGGTAAAAAGTTCCGATGAAGCTTGGAACTAATAAATGATGGAACGGAACCTTGGAAGCTTTCAAGTACTGTCTGTACGTACGGGACCCTTAGGAAATCGATACAGCTACAGCTTCCTTATCCTGATCTTTCCTTCCCTCGTCATTCACATCAAATACGTGATCATTCAGCCCGCATGTAGAGCTAATCATGGCTCCTCATGCTGGGTTTGATACAAATCAGATTAAAGATAAAGCGAGGAAGGATTTACTATACTTATTAGAGGGTGTAAGTAAGGCCTCACCGTCTCCCATGCTGCTCGAGGTTGCAGCTGACATGTTAATCTTCGCAGGTTCGCGGAAAGAAGAATCTCGTACTTGAACAGAGTTTGGCTGGTCCACTTGGCGTCATTGTCAAGTTTTCGACTCTTCAAGATTACGGTGTCGATAAGGTCTTCTTCTTAGAGAATGGCAATGCAGATGTTAGCCAGCAGAATGTCGTGTTCATTGCTAGGGGAGAGAGTGCGAAACATGCTCAATCAATAGCTGGTAAGTACTTGGTCATTCTTGTCACTTCATTCTTTTCTTTTCTTGTACCTTTGATGGGATCTCAAAAGTAGACCTTATAGCCGTACTTCTCCAACTCTATTCGGTCAGTCTTGATCCCTATATGAATAATTCTCATATATTTGAACAACACGATCATAAGCATATCTTCGATTTCAATTTGTGTTTAATGCTATCAGAACGTGCTGACAGTCTCAGATCATATCAAACGCATGCAGCGAGAGAGCCAGACAGGACATGAATTTTCCATATTTTGGGTCCCACGAAGAACATTAGTATCAGAAAAGATTCTTGAAGAATCTGGCGTACTGGGTGACACCAGTATTGCCGAGTTTCCTCTCTATTTTCTTCCGCTAGAAAAGGACCTCTTGTCATTAGAATTGCACGAATCGTTCGAAGATTTATATCTACGAAAAGACCCAACGCCGACATTTCTCCTCGCACGTGCTTTGATGCTCATACAACAAAAACATGGCCTATTCCCTAGAATGACTGGGCAGGGTGATAATGCGAAGAGACTTGCCGATCTCCTTTTACGAATGCGACAAGAATTGATCGCGGGCGAAGATTCCAATGAAAGCAATAAACTTGGACTCTCCCCAAGTAACACGGTCGAAAGCCTCATTATTATCGATCGCGAAATTGATTACGCGACCCCTTTACTGACGCAATTAACATACGAGGGGCTGATTGACGAGGCGGTAGGTATTCAACATAATCAAGCCGATGTGGATTCATCTATTGTGGGGTCCGCTCCTCAAGCCCCTCAAGGGTCCTCGAAAACAGTCGGAGCAGCACCTGTACAAGCCAAAAAGCGGAAAATAATACTGGACTCGTCCGATAAACTTTATTCTCAATTGAGAGATACCAATTTTGCTATTGTTGGACCGCTCCTTAACAAGGTCGCACGACGCCTGAAAGATGATTATGAAAGTAGACATGGAACAAAAAGTACTGCAGAATTGAGAGACTTTGTGAACAAGCTCCCAGGTTACCAAGCCGAGCAGCAAAGCTTGAAAATACATACTGGTTTAGCAGAAGAGATAATGAAACATACTCGTACAGAACAATTCAGCAAACTGCTAGAAGTTCAACAAAATCTGGTCGCCGGTGCCGATCCTTCTTCCCAACACGACGCCATCGAAGAGCTCATTGCTCGAGATGCCCCTCTCCCTGAAGTCTTAAGACTTCTGTGCCTAGAATCATGCATCTCTGGCGGTATCAAACCTCGCGAATTGGATACGTTCAAGAAAATGATCCTACAAGCGTATGGGTACCAGCACATGCTCACCTTGGATGCTCTGGAGAAATTACAATTACTACTCTCAAGGACATCTCCAATGGCATCAATGATTCCCATGACCGGAGCTGGAGCTCAACCTGGTGCCAATACCAATTATACTTATCTGCGAAAACAACTTCGCCTAATTGTTGATGAAGTTAACGAGCACGATCCAAATGATATCGCTTATGTCTACAGTGGTTACGCGCCACTTTCGATACGCCTCGTTCAATGCATATTGCAAAAACAATATATCATTTCGATGACCAGAGGAGGAAATGCGAACAATACTGCGAGCGTGGCTACTGGCGGCTCTTCTCAAGGCTGGCGAGGATTTGATGAACCATTGAAGCATGTGCGAGGCCAGACCTTCGATGAAGTACAAAAAGGGGAAGATAAAGCTGTCAAAGCGAGAGCCCTTCTCACGGGCAGTGGTGAGAAAAAGACTGTTTTTGTTGTATTCCTAGGGGGAATAACATTTACAGAGATTGCAGCTTTGAGATTTATCGCGAAGCAAGAAGAAGGTATGCATCCCGTTATCATTTTCTAAACACTTCAACATCACTTACTAAGAGACACACAGCACGAAAGCAAATCATTATATGCACAACCTCGATCATAAATGGGAATCGAATGATGGATGTAGCGATAGAGAAGGACTCGTTGGGCAGAACTAGTGTGCCGGACGTAACATTATGATGAACAATGAGAAATATCATGAACAAAAGATAAAAAGGGGCAGAAGTCCCAACTTACTTCAATAATAGTAATCTTAAATCAAAATATTTGCCAACAATGAAACTACGTACAACATTTCCTCTTGACCTTCCTCTTCTGGGGGTCTGGAATGCAATGCTACAATAAGATCGGAGTTCTTGCAATTTAGGGTTCCTTGTCAACTTCATTCTAAACTAAATAAACACCACACGTGATCGCTATCCGCATCTTTTGCCCGCCCGAGATCCCATAAGACATGATATATCCATATCGTACGACACAACGATCAACAAATCTCCTCGAGTCCTAGAAAAACTTTCATAACTTTCGCCTGCGACTCCTGATGACATAGGGTGAATAACACATATGAGACTCGGCGCGGTGTACGACATACATCGCAATATGTTGAATGATAGAGGTGAGGCCAATCCACGTGTAAGACGTATATCTCTACATTTTAGTTATATGAAGGTTCTAACACCACCAGAACAGATATTTGAGAGTACATCATATCGAATTGGACAATAATAAGGGGTTATTTCGGCTCGTGGCTTGAGGCTGTTCATGGGCAATTCGTCATCTCCCAACTCTGAGCCTCCGAACATACTTTTATATCTAAGCATTCCAAGGAAGAAGTCACCGGGTTTAGACCTCTCAGCATGGCAACCACGATGGATGCCCAGATAAGTCAACAAGATGACTTAGGTCACGATACATTGATGGGATTTCAAGAATTAGATTCCCATCTTGCTATATTTGAGTCTACGGAGAACCGAAGAGCGTCATCTACCCCGGGTACTATATCTACTCCTGGCTTCGATGCAACAATCGACACCATTGAAACGCAGCCTACTTTTGAGAACTTTGAGCATACCATTATCGTTGATACCTCGACCGATCATTTCCAATCTGATATCAAATCCCGTGCAAGGGTCATTAAAGATCCTAAACCTAGTACTAACGGCGATAAGAAGTATGTATTGATGCATCTCCTCTTGTCTTTTGAAGTCCTCAATTGAGCTGTCAATGTTAATTGGCTTTTATCAGTAGAGCTGCACGCCAATTAAAACACGCGTCGGATGGCAACATACACCTACAGCCCGAAAGCGCTCGAGACTCTTTAGCCTCTTCAATGACTACAGATCATGATGATGGTTCCTCTTCACTGTCCTCATTGTCAAGCCATCCTAATTCTCCAACAGTCGATAAAAATTCCGGGGTGGCTACAAAGGCATCATCCTTGAGTGGAAATAGACCGACATATAATGTACGCCCGAAAGAATCGATACCTACGGATGTTCATCCAGCAGAATATGCCAGGCAATGTATTGCTGCAGCAGAATCGTCACGACTCAGTCCATACACTCTACACCCAGAGGAGTATCATATGTTACGTGGGCATATAAGCCATCAACAGGTCACGACGTATCTCAATATCAGAAATGGAATACTCCGACTCTGGACACGTAATCCCTCGATACATGTAATGAGAGATGAAGCTATTGGTTGTGCAAGAGACACCCGTTGGTTTGAAACTGCTCGAGTTTGTCACGAATGGTTAGCTAGGCGTGGTTACATTAACTACGGCTGTCTCGAGAACCCAGAGTCCAAAATAGATCACAGCGAGATGCAAAAAACTGGACCCAGGCGCACCATCGCTGTCATCGGAGCTGGTATGTCTGGCTTAGGTTGTGCTAGGCAATTAGAAAGCCTCTTTGCCCAATTCGAACATCGTTTTCATGAAATGGGCGAGGCATTACCTCGTGTGGTCATAGTTGAAGGCAGAGACCGAGTTGGTGGAAGAGTTTACTCCCGTCAATTCGAGTCACGACCCGAATATCCAACTCTGTTTCCTGGTAGTCGATACACTGCAGAAATGGGTGGTATGATTATTACTGGGTTTGATCGTGGCAATCCTTTGAATATCATCGTAAGAGGACAATTGGCGCTACCTTATCATCCGTTGAAGCCGGATACCACAATATATGATGATGGCCACCCAGTCGACCTCCAACGCGATCAACAAGCCGAGAAGCTTTTCAATTACATTCTCGATCGTGTTGGCGAGTATAAATTTAAGATTCCACTACCGCCTCTTATAGATGGTGATAGAGACCATTTAGAAGCTGGACGCGATGGTAATGGGGATGGGTCAAGAACCATCAGCGAGGTTGAGAACAGGGCCAGTATCGCCCCGCAGTCTGCTGCAAGTGAAAAATCATCTGCTGCCGAAGAAATGGTGCCTGTGGCATCGGATAGGCTCACTGGCAGAGCTCATTTGGAGCCAGGGATTCCAGCCGTGCATACTGCTGCTTACAAAGCTCGCGAGATTGGATGGCAGCTTAGGGATGGTATTGGTATTGAATCTGACCTCGACCTCGAACGCTCGACGAGTAAGGAGAATGCTACACTTGGGTCAGTATTCGATGACGCGATTCGACAATATATGAGAATGATTGATTTCACACCTCTCGATCTCAGACTTATCAATTGGCATGTTGCAAACCTTGAATATAGTAATGCGATTACTTGCAATAAGTTAAGTCTGGGGGGCTGGGATCTAGATGCTGGTAATGAATGGGAAGGCAAGCATACAATGGTCACAGGGGGCTACCAGCAAGTCCCCCGAGGTCTATTAAATTTTCCCCGGTTACTGGATGTGAAGAAAAAGAGTGCAGTAAAACGCATTTGTTATAATCCTCATGGTATCATTTCCTCAAGTAGGATCGACTGTGAAAATGGCGAGTCAATCGAGGCAAATTATATCGTTTCCACTATCCCACTGGGTGTTTTGAAGCAGAACAAGATCGAATTCGAACCAAAATTACCTTCATGGAAAACCGGAGCAATTCAACGAATCGGATATGGAATCCTCAATAAAGTTATATTAGTTTTCAAAGAGCCTTTTTGGGACCAAAGCCGGGATATCTTTGGGACCCTTCGTAATCCACCCAACAAGTCCAGCTTGGAACAAGGAGAATACTTCACACACAGAGGAAGATTTTTCCAGTGGTTCAATTGCACCAATACTTCCGGCGTGCCAACTCTGTTAGCTCTCATGGCTGGCGATGCAGCATTTTACACGGAGAAGACCTCAAACGAAGATTTGGTATCTGAGGCTACAAACGTTCTACGAGGAGTTTTCGGTGATCATATTCCTATGCCTGTAGAGTCGATTGTTACTCGTTGGGGTCAAGACCAATTCTCTCGCGGCAGTTACTCTTACACAGGGCCAAATTTTCAAAGTGATGATTATGGGGTTATGGCAAAACCTGTTGGCAATCTCTTCTTTGGTGGAGAGCACACTTGTGGTACACATCCAGCCACTGTTCACGGAGCTTACATCTCGGGTCTCAGGGCAGCCTCCGAAGTATTAGAGTCTATCATTGGACCAATAGAAATACCAGAACGCCTTGTTCCACCCAAAGAGTCAGCGTCAAAGAGAAAGGCCGAGGCCATTGAAGTGCCCAAGGATCCAAAGCAAGCTCGTCTCGAGGCGTATGAAATCGAAATATGGAATGCGATATATGCCAAGCTTGGTGATCGACCTTGGAAGCCTTCAAAGAACCACTCTAATTCATATCAAATGTACAGTAAGGATACATGGGAGGAAGCCAAAAGGAAGTGTGAAGAAGGGCGACGACCAGGGAAAGGCAAACCGATCACCAATGAAGTTAAGAAAATGATCACGAAAATGTGGAACGAAGCTCCAGAGGATGTAAAGAAACCTTATATTGACAAGGCTCTCGAACGAAAGCAGATTTATCAAGATGCTGTTGCGGAATATAACGTAAAATCGGCGAAATGGGATAAAGATGCTTGGGATTTCCGAGTACAATACGAAAAGGATCACCCAAGCTTACCGGGTCCAGACGAAGATATTGGTAGTCCTTGGAGACGTGATAGAAGAGCTAAGAGAACGAGTGGTTATGCTGAAGATTCTGAATCCGAACTGGATTTGTAAAGTGGATTCCTGGGTTTGCATTGCATTCGCATTGTACGATAAGTATGGGTCATGATTCATTACAACGGAGTTATTACATTGGTCCGGGACACTTTCAAAATGGTGGTGGTTAAACTCTGGCGTATGGGTGAAACTCTGATGGAGGGAACTTGGTCCAAACAGGAGGACGGTGAATGGATGGGTTGCATATAGCTGGATTTTCCTGCTTGGGTCTTTTTGACTCAATGTTGTATGTACGCCTGAATAGCATATACATAATCTTTCAATACAGTAAAAAAATTTGCTTGCAAATATCCTGACTTGCCGTTTTTTAATGAATATACCTAAAGTTTCCTCAGTATCTGCGAACATCAAATAGTCGTTATCGTTAATCAGACCCTTGCTTTCGCTAAAACGTAGCTCTAACGTCAACCCCTCCATCTTCAACATTGACAACGCAAGCTCCATACTTCATACAACCACCTTCAAAATGGCAGAAGTCGATCAATTTGATAGCGCGCTGTAAGTTGTTACTTCCTTTTTCTTAGTCCAAGATTCGAAATCTGCGAGTAAAATTTCATTCACGGAACGTATCAACTGATCAACCTCTACAGGGATCTCCTCCGCCGTCTCAACCCAAAACATACCACCACCCATTTAAACTCTCTTATTGACCTCGTTCCCTCCTTAACAGAAGATCTCCTAAGCTCTGTCGATCAACCTCTTACTATTTCCCGCTGCCGCAAAACTGGTCGCGATTACCTTCTCTGCGATTATAACCGTGATGGCGATAGCTATCGTTCCCCATGGAGTGGTGAATTCGAGACACCTGTAGGTGGTACAACACCAGGTGGTATTGATGATCAAGGAAACAATGATGGAGCCGGAGAAGGTGCCGTTCCTAGTGAACGGGTCAGAAAAATGGAGATTAGAGCAAATGAGGCTTTTGATGTTTACAGGGAGTTATATTATGAGGGTGGTGTTAGTAGTGTTTATTTCTGGAACTTGGATGATGGGTTTGCGGGTGTGGTTTTATTGA